GTCAAAGCACTCTCTTTACAACTTCAAGTCAGCTGCCAGTCTGTAGTCGGGTAGTCGTGTAGGTTACACCCAGCATATCAGATCTCAGAAAAAAGAAATATTGTGGCGTATCACATATCGTGAAAATTACTTGACGAATTTTTATTTGAAGTATTGATTTGATATCTTTGCCATATCGCCCACCTCTAGTCCAGGGGGGCTGCATTTCTAGACTTTGTCACTGAAGGCTGTTCTAGTCAGAAGGATCCTCCGAACACAGCCGAGAAACGCGGCCTACATTCTCACAGTTTTTCGACAACGTTGCTGGAGTATCCTTTGCGGCCTACTGTCACCCACAATCCTTTGCGCACGCATCTGTGTAAACTGAACGCAGGGTGTGAAACGCACCTGCTTTCTGTCAGTTCAACAGTCTTCAGCTTGCAGGGTAGCAGTTAATTAAACACATTCTTGTGCCACATTTGACATCACTCGCATCAACATACTGGTTGCCAGGTTATCATCCACGTCAACAGAATCTTCTCCATTAAATTATGTGCGCCAACTCTTTTCTGATGACGTGACGAAGCTGCCCTGGTAGACTGCTCTGTTTTGCATTTTGCAATACAAACGAGAAGCCTTCACAGGACAGTCCTACCGATGACCCGCCTTTCTCAGAAAGTTTTAGGAAAGCAGCTTCTTGGTCCTCGTTCAGCTCAGAAAGCACAAAAATGTATTTCATTACTTTCATTCTGCATAACAGTGAACAAGGCTTTTGTAATTTGCCTGCTATTTGCTTAAAGGAGATGTTAGTTAAATTTCTGTTTACACAGAAAAAAAACTAGCACATCTAGTAATCACTGTTGTATATCGCTGTATATCACCTGACTGCAGGTCTTCGGACTGTGGGAGGAAACCAGATTAACCGGAGGAAATCCACACAGATACGGGGAGAACAGGCAAACTCCACACAGAAAGGACCCTGGTCACCCAGCCAGGGAATCGAACCCGCTGCATTATATATAGTATATCACTATTATTGTAATAGTAGTATATATACACAGGGAGATTCACTTGAAAGAGGCCCCAAATATTCTGTTGTAACTCAAGTTAGGTTGAAGCAATCGGAACCAAAAAATACGCTACATATCTTGACGCGCTGCTCAATACTGTACAGCACCATCCTGATGAGTGACTGAGTGAAGGGGTACGGGGGTATACACCCGGAAGTTGCAAATGGAGGTTAAACGTTGCGACGGCTTTCCGGCGCCTACCTGATTGCTCTGATGCAGGGGCATCCAGGCTTGTTTGAAGCTCCATGTACTAAGGAGCGCATTGTGGACAGATTGCTTCGTCCTCGCGAGAGTTATTACAGAATATTCGGGGCCTCTTTCGAGTGAATATATATATATATCTGTATTACGGTAATGTAATAATTTTTCGCTTCTCTTATCATTACCATGATACCCAACAGCTTTATCAAACATCAAAACATCACATTTTATGCGTTTGGTCAGATGGCTCTACTGCATGCTCTCTGTACATGAGAGACAAAAAAAAAAGACACACTGATATAATCTTATTTTTGACTTTCAGAAAATAAGACGTGGCTGAAATAATAACCACAGCTGCACAATGCAGACAAATTACCATTCTGTGATCACAGCACATCCCGCAACTGCAATATGACAAAACACGGGGGCGAATAGGTGACATTTCCACATGACAGGGTTGAAGGACAGGGCTGCATCACGCTGACAAAATCAAGCACGTCCCGTCGGGCTGCACGCATGAATACCTGTCACTTGTCAACCAACTCGCAGCACAATCACCGGCTATGTCGGGTTGGCTCAGCATTTTCAGGCAGCACACTATAGAGACAGAGAGAGCTTTGGCCTTTCAGAGCACTTTGCTCTCAGAACCAGAAACCTTTCATCTTGATGCACGCACAATGCTACGTTTTGCTTTATCTCACTGCAGAGATCACATCATAATGATTAACGCAGGCTTCTCTGAGCAGGACCGAAACAAATTTGTCAACATGATCAACATGGATTTGCATATAATAGCACTGTGGACCAGTTCTTAATGGCCAAGCATACCAAGATGCAGCCCAAGGAGTCTTATTCTTGTGTACGATGCAGTAAGGCTATATTCACACTGACAGCCCAAATCCAGTTTTCGGCATATCCAGATTGTATCCAGATTGGGTTTTGATAGTCTGAACAGCTAAAAATACATAAAAGCCGACTCAGATCCACCCACATTCAGAGGCGGTTTGAAATGCAATTCCAATCTGATTTCAACAGATGCATCTCAGTGTGGACGCTCTGGCCTAGGGATCGGATTTCAAAGTGTCTTTAGCGCCACTCGCAGCTCGACAAACAGCGACAATGTCAAATCCAGAGTGACAGAAGTGCTGGGAGCACCAAAGATTCATGCTTATGAGTTTGGAGGGCAAGATGATGCCCCTCCATCTCTCCTGCACCTGCTTTTGAAATCCGCATCACCAGCATAGCTACGTAGTTACTGATGCCTATGTCGTTACCATGGCAACCCATGCAGATAGGCTGGTGATGCCTGGACACATAAATCCGAGCTGATCGCTTGCAGATAACAGTGCGGACAGTCGACTCAAAAGATCTGATCTGAGAAACAAATCCGGTTTACCTGCAGTCTGAACACAGCCTAAGTGGACTACAGACATGACTAGGTGTGACTATGGGATGTTCACCCCACTGAGAGAAGTCTTCACATACAGAGCATCACACTAAAGATGAGGCCACACCAAATTGAACAAAAAGCTAAAGATATGGACAGTCTATACATAGATAAAGCAGGTCTACGGGTGCTGGATGGGGATAACTGCATTAGGCTACACAGTTCAATTCTTCCATCTGCATTAGTGATGTGAGGTTTGATTCAATTTACAGAACCGATTTGGTTCAATCAACTGAACATCTGATTCATTGGTGGGAGCAAATTCGAATTAGTAACTGTGACCGTGAGCAGAAAATCAGATTTTGTCAGTAATCCGATCAACACACCTGGGAAATCAGATAATGGGATCTACATGAGTCGGACAATAATCGGATTTTACAACCAGCTAATAAACTCACAGAAAAAGACGTGGCTTTTTTAAAAACATTGCATCACTTTAGCTGAAAATATATACATACATCATCTAGAAGATGAGGAATATTTAAATCTATCATTTTGTCAAGCATGTAGTTGGTTTCTGCTTGCTTATTTCCGGTACAGTCTGATTCGCACATGTGCAGACTGAGAAATCCGAAAGAAATCAGAGTAAGAGTTTACATTCACTGAGAAATCTGATTACTGAGCTAAAAACCAGCTCTCTTTATCGGATTTCTTAATCAGATTTCCAAACCTTACTCCGGTCTAAGAAAATGGAGTGTGCTGTTTACATGACCATTTGAATAATCAGATAATGCAGAAATCGCAGATGCCCTTCAGTCCCAACAGAGTTTCAACAGTAAACACGATAGCTAACAGCTGCACACACACACACACACACACACACACATCCACTAATCAACAACACATTTACCTTACAATATAGTACGTTCACAGAACTGACTTTTGAGCACCTGTGAATTGTGAATAAAGCCACAAAGAAGAAAAGGAGCCCAGATTAAAGTGGAATTCCACCAATTTTTAAAAATTTCTGCATAATTTAATGGTGGAGATGAAGTCATTCAGAGCGGTTTGATGTGAAATGGTACATTTGTAGAGAATCTTACTGACTCTTTACAGTGGTGGTGATAGGAACCAGGGGTCGTGGTGTCCACAAATTCAAATACAGCCATTTTATTTACTATCCAAAACCACCAGTGGACCTACAGACGTCTTTTGAGTTTAATTATGTAATGTTTATGATAATAAAATCATGGTAAATCTTAAAAATAAGTTTTGCCTTAGAACACCCTTCATGTATCTCTCCACTGTGAATGGATAAAAAAAAGGATTAAAATACGTTTTAGACCAAAACTTTATCACAAAACTACCATAAAAACAATCTCAGACATCAGGCTGTGTATTCATAACCATTTCGTGTATTAACTTTCTGTGAGGAAACTTTTAGAGGCATTAAACTCCTTAGACGTCCGGTTCCCATCACCACCATGTGAACAATTCTGACTCGGCAAGTTTCTCTAGAATGAAGCATTTCACTCCAAAACACTCTGAACGGCAACTATGTAATTATACAGAACTTTGAAAAATTGGTGGACGTCCCCTTTAACTTCAGACGCGCTAAAATCACTGCTGCGCAACAAGTGTTAGCCGTACAACCAGAAAAATGCCAACGTATTAAAGATATTTACGTAAAAAACTACGCAGAACACGCACAGGTCGACTCTCCCTTCGACTAGAAAGCATCTGTGAGAGGAAAGTCACATTAAATGCTCAGTTTAACGCTGTATAAACGCTTACAACGCCGTTATAACACTTCCAGTCAGAAAGTGGAGAAAAACTACGAAGCGAAGAGCTGCCTGACAAAAACACTGAGGAAAAAATGCACTTTCTTTTTTCGGCAGCTCTCGAGAGAAGCTTGAACTGACACTGTTTCGTCCAAACACGCAGATTTACAGCGATACATAACCCTGAAGTGAAAGTAAAGGGAGGGAGGGAGAGAGGGAGAGAGAGAGAGAGAGAGAGAGAGAGACCCACCACACCCCCACCACAACACACCATATGTATGTTATAAATCCTAAATATATCATTATTTTGTTAATTAGTATAATTATATTTATGATAAGGACCATAATAATACTATTATTATGATTGCAGGCATTGCTGTGGTTATTACTTGTTTAGTTACATAGTTATTACTACAGTTATAATACTTCGGCACTCCTGTACTTTACACAGTCTAAAGTTAATAAAGCTATTCTGAACTGAGAGAGAGAAAGAGAGAGAGAGAGAGAGAGGGAGAGAGAAAGAGAGAGAGAGGGTGGGCGGGAGAGCTCGAGACGGGGGGACTGACTGAAGAGTGAACTTACTTGAAGGTGAGGATGCAGAGCGGACGGTAGGACTTGTGGCTCGTGTTGTCGGCCATTCTCTTCCCCCAGAAGTCGTTGGTGAAGATGCTCCGCAGGCTCGAGCCCGGTCTCACGTCCGGGTTGTTCACGATGGCCCACACGTCGTCGTGCACGAACTCCCCGCGCAGCGAGTTGCGGTAGCAGAGCGCGCACGCCGCCAGCAGCGCGCCGTAGCCCAGCAGCCTGGCGCCCGGCCTGGGCAGCGCGGAGAGGCGCGGCCGCGCCGCCCTCGGCCCCCTGCCGCTGGAGGTCATGTCACCCTCCGTGCGCAGCGCCTGAGGCGGGAGAACAGCGGACGAGCATCATCGGACATTTTAACTGTGTGTGTTTTCTGAGCGATGCAGAGACGCGCCGTGCAGGATCGCTGAGACACAACTGAGAGCTGGAGAGCTATGGCAGAGCAGAAAGAGGAGAGAAACCGCCTCCTCGCGCATGCGCGCAGAGAGAGAGAGAGAGAGAGAGAGAGAGAGAGAGGGAGGAATCATTTTTATTCATTTACTTCATTTATTTATTTTCACTATCATTATTATCATTATTACTATAATTAATTCTATACTTTCTTTTAGTTTATTTGCTTTGTTCTTTAGACAGTCATGACAATAAAACTGCTCTGAATTTGGAAGGCAGAGGGAGAGAGAAGGATAGAGGAAGAAAAAGATAGAAAGGGAGAGAGGGTACTGAAGGGAGAGAGAGGCATAGTGGAGCAGGGGAATGAGGGAGAGAGGGGGAGGGATAGAGAAAGAAGAAGGAGGAAGAAAGGGAGTAAGAGAGAGGGACAGAGGGACTTACAGAAAGAAAGAAAGAAAGAAAGAAAGAAAGAATACAGAAGGAAGAAGAATGGGAGAAAGGGATAGTGAAGGAGGGAAAGAGTGAGAGAGACTAAGAAAGAGAGAGAGAAAGAAAGAAAGAAAGATGAAGAGAGATGAAGGAGGAAGAAAGAGATAGAGAAGGACAAAGAAAGGGAGATAAAGAAGGAGGAAGAAAGAGATAGAGAAGGAGGAAGAAAGAGGGAGATAAAAGAGGGAGATGAAGGAGGAAGAAAGAGAGATAGAGAAGGACGAAGAAAGAGAGAGAGAGAGAGAGAGAGAGAGAGAGAGAGAGAGAGAGAGAGTGAGAGAGAGAGTGAGAGAGAGAGAGTGAGAGAGAGAGAGAGAGGCGGGGAGGAGTGAGGCAGAAAATCAATAAGGACCGGTACGATATTTCAGACGATGATTGCTGAGCCTCAAATATGACCAGACAATGATCGCCGAGCGTTACCACGGCGCCCGTCTGCAGGGGGACAATAAACATTGATCAAACAATTTCCTGTGCAAACAAAAATAGTCATTATTGCGAGTCGCATCCTCTAACCAGGAGAGCTTGTTAAAGGGGTACCCCACCAATTTTTCCAAATTTCTGCATAATTCAGTGATGCAAGCAAAGTCAGAGTGTTTTGGTGAAATTTACAGTGGGGGTGACAGGAACCCGGGGTCAGAATGTCTACCACACAGATACGGCCATTCGCCATTTAATGGCCAAAATGACCACTGAGCCTCACATGTCTTCTGAGTTTCTATATGTAATGTTGATACTGATAAAAAACGTGGTGAATCTAGAAAAAGATGAGTTTTCTTTGGGGACTAATTTGCCTCACAACACCCTGCATGTATGTCTTCATATTTCTTCATATTTACATGTCTTCATGTAATATTCTACATATTAGGCCAAAACTTTCTAAACAGTGTCTGATCAATACCAATACCAGTTTTCTGTGAGAGAGCTGTTTTTTAGAGGTGTTAATCTCTTCAGACGTCTGGTTCCCATCACCACCACTGAACAATTCCGACTCAGTAAGTAGCTCTAATGGGGCGTTTCACATCAAACCACTCTGAATGACTTTGTTTACATCTTTGCCATTTAATTATGCAGGATTCCTGAAAAATCCGTGAAATTCCTTTGGCTTTCTGGAAATCTCCAACTTTTTTTAGGTTTTAGGTTGGTAGGAGAACATTGTGTCGCCCCCTGTTGTTAAGTCTTAGAATTGCATGATTTGCTCTTTTCTAGAACCTGTGAGAGGTAAATAGAGAAGCCAAAAACTACACTAGAATAAAGCTACTTCAACAAAATAATGACTCAAGTAGGAGTAAAAACAGCTACCAAACCCAACTTCAGGAAAAAAAACACTCCTGAGTGCTGAGGTCAGTAGAGAATTGAGAAGAACCGCAAAGCAGCCCAGAGCGTCACCAACCAAGCAGAATGACATTAAACCTAAAGAAGGAATTAATGTGAAACACTAGGATGATTCAAAAGTACATTTGAGTAGAAACACATAGAAACACTCAAATAAGCAAATTATACTTGAAGTCATTATAAATTCAAAAGTACACTCTCTAAAAAGACGGTTCTTCGAGGGTTCTTTAGTAAACGGTTCCATATAGCACCACGAACACTCAAAGAACCCATTGCATGATTAAAGTGTTCTCTGCATCATGAAAGGGCTCTTCACATTGACGGAGAATGTGCTGTAGATGGTTCTATGTAGAACCTTTTCGAAAAGGGTTTTTCTGTTGTTACAAACTTGACATTGTAACAATAGAAGAACCCTTTTTGGTGCTATATAGAACCCTAAAGAACCCTCTTTTTTAAGAGTGATATACCTTAGTGTAAGTACATAAAAAAAATGCCCAAAGTTAAAATCTACCAACTCTGTTAAAAATGGGAGGTCAGCTCAACTCAAAATGATATAGTAACCGATTTCATGGCTTTTCTTGAGTTGACTCAACTTGAGGTCCACACGACTCAAACTTCATAGTTGAGTCAAAAGTTCTCTTAATGTTTTAGTTCTGCATCTCAGTGATTTAAATAAAATAGCTTGTTTTTTTTATACTCAACTTCCCCTCTAGCCAGCACTTACAGATGGCTACGGCATTGATGGGGCTCAAACTCACAACCTCCTGATGTGTGACAGCTTAGTCCGTTTTGTGCTACATAGGAAAACGTGAAGAACTCAGATTTTGTGTCTACAAATGTTTAAAACACTGGAGAAAATATTTGTTGTATTAAATTTAAAGCATGGTGTTGTCTCATGTGGTGCAACTGTCTAATAATTCATCCCAACATCAGGAGGTTGTGAGTTTGAATCCCAGCAATACCACAGCTGTCCATATCCAGAAGCTCAAGAGGAAAATATACCAGATGGGACTGTGTGACAGAAGGAGCGCCAGCTAGTGGAGAAACTGAGTAAAAAAATACAGATTCAGTTTAGTTTATCTAACTGAGATGCAGACCTAGAAACAGTAGCTGAGAGAATTTTTGACTAAGAAGTTTGAGTTGTGTGAACTCTGGTGTCCTCAAGTTGAGTCAACTCAAGAAAACCAATGTAATCAGTTACTATATCATTTTAAGTTAAGCAGACGTCTCATCTTTTACAGTGAAATTACACTGAAAGTCAAAATGCATTTTCCTTCTGTGCTGTGATGTATTACAGAGTGAAACACTGTATCAGGGAGGGTCTCTGAGTCAGCTGAGTGTTTTCTCTTGATGATCGGTCAGAAAACACTACATTATTGGTTGATATATTTTTCCCCACATGCCGTTACACAGTGACGAACACATAAAATCAGAAAACGTCGTAAAGGTGAGCAAAAGTACTTACATTTTGATGGAAGATTACAGAGAAACAAGAATTCCTTTGAAATGGTTTGATAGGATGAATGGTGTTCAACCTGAGCAGGAACATCAACTAACAAGGTCAACTTTGATTTCGGGTTGACTTTATGCACAATGAACTAGAGGAACGAAGCTCAGCCCACCTCTGGAACCAGATATGCAGTGACCATGATACCCAGCGGTGGGCAAACCCAGTCTAGTTATGTTCCTTGTGAAAGTTCTTAGATGATTCTATAACTCTTAATGCAGCCACAGAATAAACGTTCTGGCTGTAAAGCTAATATGAGATTAGCTCATTCACTGTGCTCTGTCAGTGTGATGGACATTTGCTAACATGTTAAAAGATCACACAGAGAGTCAGACAGTGAGCAAAAGATGATACAGTTGTATGCACCTCTGGTTGAGTGGCATGTTTTGCTGATGTTCTAATAAGTTAACACTTATTTATTTACTTAAACATGTGGTGCAGAATTTGTATTTATTTGCTGGAAAAAAAATATATATATAAAATGTGCTAGAACTTTTATATTCGCCACATATTTTTCCAAACATTAAATTCAGTAAATAAACACTAATTGTGCATTAAAGTGTGTCGTTTTCAGGGTGCAAAAGTTTGAAAGTCCTTGATCAAATGACGTTTTGTTAATGTTCTAAGTGAAAGGTTCTCTAAGAGAACACATCTCTGCACATTTTACTGTGAGCTAGTTTGACTCAATAATAAATAGTGTGACTCCACACCTGAGCTGAGGCTGCTTGGACTGTTTCACTTAAACCAACATTAGTAAGTTACTGTTTTAACCATGTTGTCTATGCAGTAAGCCAACTTTATTAAATTGATGAAGTCATCAAATCACCTCTAAATTAGCAGAGAAAGCTGATGGGGTGCATTAGCAGGATACATTATTTGGTATTATTTATGTATCCATATAAAGCTAAATCTGGGGCTATTACACAGTTTGGGCGGGAAGCCAGGCAGTTACATCAGTGCTTATGGTGCTTATGCCCTCCTGAAATGACCTGGTTGCATTTAGGGATGCAGTATATCATGAAGATAGCTCTGGCTGCATACTCAAATATTTGGCCAGCGTAGTACATCATCCAGGTATCTGTATATTGTATACTACATACTTATTTTGGGCACAATTAGTATGTGAGCAATATGTATTGGGCTATTGTGAACACAGCCTAAGTGTCCAGCCCTATGCTAAGTTTGCCTGAGGTACTTCACTTTCTTACCCACAGTTAACCGGATATCCGTTCATTAACTCTTGTAGACACTTGAAAATCAAAATTAGATGCAATGCATATCCCTACACTCCACGAAAGATGATAAAAGAAGGTCTCTCAGGGGAGACCAAGAGGTATTATGGCAGTACAGTTTTGATCAATATGTATTGAAATCATTACACCTATACTAAGCTGATTCTCTGGCCTCCTTCAAATGGGTCGATGTTTTGGCACTGGCTGTGTTGTTTGGTTCTAAACTAATTTTTCATTATTTCTAGTATTTTTACATTAGTTTTCTGCTTTGTCTAAAGTAAAATACAGCTGGACTGTTGATGTGCACATTGTGAAAGGCTGCATTTCCATACAGAAAGTCTAGACAGCGACAGCAGAATATCTCACTCGGTATGTTTGCGAGTGCAGACAAACATCACTGTATGGAATCGAGTCCAAAGCCTGAGTCAACTCTCGATTCCTGAATGCCTGGAATCAATGCTGTGTGGGATCGCAGTGCTACTCAAAAGAGTTCTGGTTATTATGAGCATCAGTCACACACAAAGGACTAAGAGAGACAAGAAGTAGTGTTAGACTAATTTTTATGACTTAAGTTAATTCTCAAAACTTTTACAAAAACAAAATCAAAACATACAAACATGTAACAAATATAGAGCACAGTCCTCCCAGTGTGTATATCACAAGCTAGACAGGAACACACCTATGAAACACTGAAAGCCCAGACCACCTCGGTCAACCCCACCGGCCTGTGTGTATCCGCGTCTGTTCCTTAGTCTCTGCGCCCGTGAAGCAGTCTGTGTCTTTCTTGTACACTGGGCTTTACACACCTCTCTTCATACTCTGAACCAAGACTACCAGCAAGAGGTGGAGAGGAGGATCAGCAATACGCTAAGAAAGGCTTTCACACCAGGAGTCGCTAAGGTGAAGTAATTATGTGCATCACCAAAAATGTAAACAAATACTTCCCGAGCAAAAATAGTCACGGTCAGGCCTGTCTCGATTTCTACATAACCATCTGACTGCTGTCATCTCAGATAACTGCCATCGTTTAAGCTGACAAATGTAAGCTTTCACAATCATAAGCTTACATTCCATCAAACTGGGTGTGAATTAGGTGTGTTGTCATCAGCTGCGTTAATGTCTGTTATGTGATGTTTGTTAATATAGCCTTTAGAGGGCAGCAGTGAGTAATGTTTATTTATTTAATGTTTGTTATTAATGTTTTTAGAGGGCGACCGTGTTTAATATTTGTTATTTAAATGTTTGTTAATAACAGCTTTAGAGGGCAGCAGTGAGTAATGTTAACAAGCGTTTATTAACATTTTTATTCGACGTTAACAAATTTAGAGGGCAGTGTGACAATTTGGTTTATTTGATGTCAGTAGCACCTGTAGAGGCCGGTGGTGAGTAAATTTTATTTGATGTTTGTTAATGACAGCTTTAGAGGGCAGCAGTGAGTAATGTTTATTTAATGTTTGTTATTAATGTCTTTACAGGGCGACGGTGTTTAATATTTGTTATATGTTAACAAGAGTTGATTAACATGTTTATTTGGTGTTAAATTTAGAGGTCGGTGTGACAAATTGGTGTATTTGATGTTAAGAACAGCTGTATAGGGCAGCAGTGAGTAACGTCTGCTCATTTGATGTTTGTTAACGCCTTTAGAGGGCAGCAGTGAGTAATATTTATTATTTATTGTTTGTTAATAATATCTTTAGAGGGCGACGACGAGTAACGTTTGTTTATTTGATGTTTGTTAATAGCACCTTTAGAGGGCGGCGGTGAGTAACGTTTGTTTATTTGATGTTTGTTAACACCTTTAGAGGGCGGCGGTGAGTAACGTTTGTTTATTTGATATTTGTTAACACCTTTAGAGGGCAGCGGTTAGCAATGTTAACAAGCATGTATTAACGTTTATTTGATGTTAACAAATTTAGAGGGTGGTGTGACTAAAATTGGCTTATCTGATGTTAATAACACCTGTAGAGGGCGGTGGTGAGTAATGTTTGTTTATCTGATGTTTGTTAGTAATACCTGCAGAGGGCGACAGTGAGAGATGTTTGTTTATTTGAGCTCAATCTGTTTCGGTTGTCTGAAAGCATCAAAAGCTGGAAAGCAAGATAGCTTATCAACCCATTTGGCCACCTTAAGCTTGCACTTCAGTACAGTTAACCAAGAGAGACTACACTGTTCATAATAATTACTGATATGCTAATTGTCAGCTAAAATTTCAGGACTGTGACACGTCTAGTTATTGTTTATATTTTTTAGGATGCACATGGATTTAACTAGTGTGAAACCCTTTCTTTGAATCTGCATCACTCATGTCCAATGAGAGCTTGTCTTTTCATGTTTCCCCCTGCAGCACTTCATCATTCTCATTTTCTTAAATATGGAAAGAGATTTAGTTGCTCACACACACTTGCACGCAAGCGCGCACACACACACACACACACACACACACACACACACACACACACACACACTCACACACACACACACACACACACACTCACACACACACACAGGCATGGCTGTTTCTCACTCACACGCCAATACTGCATTTGTGACTCATTCAGGCTGTGGCAGACCCAGAGCAACCTCTTCAGCCTCACTGGCACAAGGCCTCTCTATCCAGACGATTAAGTGTCTCAGTGGTCCTTCTAGGGTTCTGGATCCGGACAGGCTGCTTCGGGTCCTGGCTCGTTCCCCCCTCCCTCCCCAAAATCCCCTCTCGTCTTGGTTGAAATGGCTCTCTTTCTCTCTCTCTCTCTTTCTCTTTCTCTCTCTCTTTCTCTCTCTTTCTCTCTCTCTCTCTCTCTCCAGTGGAGGTTCTTGCTCAGGTGCATCCATGTAAAGTGGAGATCAGTTCCAGGGTTGAAACCGTTGCAGATCCAAACCCACAGTCTTTTCTCCGTCCTACCACTGCACCTCCCACACGGAACAGTACAGATCTCTGGCAGAGGAAAAAGAAGAAGGAAAAAAAAAGAAAAAAAATCACCTGAACTCATGTTAACCTTCAAACTCAGCAGGAACATTTATATAACACTGCTGGAGCTACATTTACAAAAGCAGCACAGCTTCCAGCACATCATTTGTGGTATTTAATAGAAAACTAAACTACAGTTATGTGTCGTAAATGTGAAGACAGAAGCAATGGGTCAGCGGCCAGCTCCCTAGCGCCACCTAGTGCCACAGAGGGCACTGCCAGTAGGATATTGTGTGCTATACATCATTGGATGATCGCACCGCTAAGCCATTGCTGAACAACGATACAATGCAAAAAAAAAACCTTTCTCAAATAACCTATTTCAGCACGGCAACTAGTTACCTGCCCTGCCCTGCTTAACCCGGAGACCGCAATTTGCGGGCATAACGGTAGGTCACTTCTAGCTTTCATAACTTCACAATGGTTTAAGATACAAACATGATCCACATATCAGGACATTCAGCAGACCCGCCACTAACGAGCACGTCTGACATCATTGAGCTGTGACATCAGCATCAGTGAGTAATTCGACTCGGACAATCACCTAAAATCCTGATATTATTGCTCTGCTGTTTGGCCTTCATATTCCAACAAAGGGTTAAAGCAGCGACATGATTCACACATCAGATCATCATCAGACTCTGTCCTCACCATCCAGTGTTTTCATCCACCTGTGACCATCAATCAGCCAGAAATCCAGCTCCAAAATCACCCCAAACCCCACTCACTACTGTTATATTACATCTCTGCTTTTAGACTTCATATTATAAACAAAAGGCTTTCAGTTTACATTGATTTAGAGTATTAAAAATATCTGATATTAAATATGCAACTCAATTTGTCATTAAAAATAAAGCCTTTCTTGCTGTGCATCAGAGTTTCAGCACTCAGCATGAATCCAAGAGGACAGAAGATCAATAAAAAACAGGTCCGCCTTATGCTAATTGTTTATTTTTACTCATAATAACCAACAGAATTAATCACCATCAAAATTGTTGCACTTTCAGCTCAACGACACTCCAGACTAACAATTCCTGAAAGGATAACTACAACTGCACTTGTTTTCAAGATCTCTATAATAATAAAAAAATAAATAAATTTGCAGGTGCTAGGTACATTTTTGATCAGAAATGATCCAAATTCATAAAGATCTCATATTTCTGTTAACATTTACATGTCAAATAATGGCATATCTGAGTAGCTCAGGGTCTCCTGAAAATAACAACATAAAGTATGTGTGACTGTCACATGTAAATACTTTAGAATTGTAATTGTCCCAAAAAAAATTCCCAGAAATTTTAGGTTTCTAAGGGTTAAACTGCAGGAAATAAACATGCTTTCTGGTTAGGAACTTCGTTCTTGGTATGGTTTGGTAATTTCTGCTGTAGTTTTGATAAATTTAGGTTTACAGCTTATTGTTAAAATAACAGGGCTGAAGCTGAACCATGCGAAGTAGCATAGGCTACTGTTACTGTAGCTACGCAGGATCGTTTATGTTTTTAATGACTCTGTGCGAAGCAGGCTGCAGCACGGCTTTATCAACAAGCACAACCAGGGATAAGGAAAAGAAAGATCAATGTCGAGCTGCTACAGAATGTTCTGAAGCCAGGCAACCGTCAGGACTGATTCAGGACATGGACTAACACTACAAATGAATGAAAACTCAGGCTGTGAGAAAAATATAATTCCTTTTGTGTTCAGACATTTACATCATCCAACTTGACTGATGATCGTGATAGGTAAATTGTTGACTGACGATACAGCTGTCAATCAATCAACCTTTATTTAAACACGGAATACTTTGAGGGATTCAAAAAAATTAAAATGTTATAATAAAGTAATAAAAATAATAGTTTACTTTAATAATAGGAAGTTACCAATAAACCGTTACATCAATAAACCATTAAAATTATAGGATAGTAACTTAACAAGTAACAGATCAGATAAAAATAAATAAAAATGTATATTAATGAAATAAAAGAAATAGAAGATGTAAGAAAAATAAATAGACAATAATAAAAAAAAAAAAATAAAAGAATTAATGAAGTACTAATAAATAAATAAAGACACAGCTAAAACTTACCAAAAATCATATTAAAAGTTAAGTAAAATCAAATAAAGCAGTTGCAGGCTGTGCGGAGGTGGTTAGAGACAAAGTTTAAGATGATCACATGACTATTCTAACTATTCTAATATCAAATGAAAGCTAGTAATCACTCTCAGAACGGAACGCAGCTCAATAAGCGCTTATTATCGATTGGTTTAACCCGAGTTTCCATTTGCATGATTTCTTGTTCTAAAAAGTCTTAAAAGGTTACAACCAGAATAATATGGAGATCATATTCTTTACATATTAAATGAATGCAACAGCAGCATTGAGACCCATGGCAGTGGTATGATGGGGCCCAGTACAATTTTTTCACTGACCAACACAAAATACCGCTAAAATTTACTTTCAGTGCTAAAACGTTGGACACAAATGAAAATGCATTTGCTAAACAGGCAATATTTAAAATTCCATTTTTGATAATCAAAGTCCCAGTTTAACACATAATCACGAGGCGTTTGCTAAGTGTATATCCCCCTCGTCCACAAGAGTAAAATTCAAGGTTCTGCCCACTGGCTACCTTGTTGTGCCCATCTAAACCGGCAGTCCTCGTGTCGCTACTGATTAAGACATTACGTTATTAACGGAAAAAAAAACTGATTAAACAGTTAAACTGATTAAATCGCCTCTTTTTTGCATTGACCTTAAAGGGTTAAACACAGACAGCTGCTCACCACAGGCCTTTGCCTGCTGCACTCCTCCTCTGCTGGGCCAGGCTGTAGATCTCCTGCAGCTGTTTCTTCTGATCGTCACTCAGACACTGTGTCAGAGACTGATACCAGCTCACATCTGAGCTCTGCACTCCTGTAAAGCCACACAGTGCTGACACTTATTTACTGCAACACAGCACAACAGCAGCGCTAAGAAGAACATTACTGTATTCAGTTTGGAGTGAGAGCACACTGAGCGACGTGGAGTAACAGTTGATTTTTATTAGTTACAGTGCACAGTAGTAGACTTGGGACACCTCCATGTGTTAAAGAATTTAAGAATTAATTATTTATGTATTATTGTGTTTTACCCTGTTTAAAATACATCATTTCAGCTATACCGTAATATATTTGCACAACAGCAAACTAGAAAACTTTCACATAAGTACCCTTTTTAAATAAATAAATAAATAAATCAATCCAAATGCACACGCATCATGTTCAAATGTTCTCCACTGCTGCTACTGGAATGCAGACGTCCAACACTTGACTCAAAATGTAATGAGTAAAATCTCTATATCTAAATTTAAAACTGAGGGTGTTTACATGCACTCAATAATCCGATCATAATCTGTAGTTATCTGATTATTCAAAATGGTCACGTAAACAGCACACTCTGACTTCTTAGATCGGAGTAAAGTCTAGGAATCTGATTAAGAAATCTGATAAATAGAGCTGGATTTTAGCTCAGTAATCAGATTTCTCAGTGCATGTAAACTCTTACTCTGATTTCTTTCAGATTTCTCAGTCTGTGCAGGTGTGAAAACAGACCGCAGTACCGGAAATAAGCAAGCAGGGTTGCCGTGACAACTACTTGTCGAAATGAAGGGTTTAAATATTCTTCATCTTCTAGATGATGTATGTTCATATTTTCAGGTGAAGTGACGCGATGTTAAAAAAAAACAAAAAAAAAAAAACAGCTGCAGCTTGAAGCATGAAGTTTGAGTTTTACATTACTTTTACGTCACGTCTGATTTTCTGCAGGTATCAGATTATTAAGTGCATGTAAACGCACTCATTGGCTCGGTATGAAAAATGAGTCTGAAAAAGATCAGGAATACATTGAAAATTCCAACATCAAGTGTGAAAAATGTGCTAAAATGGTGGAAAGAGACCTGAAGTGTTCAAAACCTGCCACACTCTGACCATCCAAAAGAGAAAATCCAGCCTGGTTAGGTATCAGTTGCACTCCATGCCTAGAAGACTTCATGCCGCCATTGAAATAGGGGCCACACAACAAAATCCTAACCTAAAAAAATGACCAAATACTAACCAACGTAAAGGAAAGACAGCAATGTTTGTCGCACTAATGTTTGAGTACTTTCACTTGCTTTACTCAGAGCTGCATTAGTCAAAATTCAAGACTTTCAACCTTTAGCGGTTGAACAGGTGAGCTACAATCCAGGGATGATTCTTCAGTCTTTAGATCCTCTTCCAATTCCCACCCCTGGAACAGACGGTACCTTCAGAGTTCATTTAGAGTTTGCCAGCATAACCAGGGATTGTCATGACAGGCCGTTTTTGTAAGAGCACTGCATTATTTTGTGGTTACGCTAACGCTGCTTCAGAGGAGATCAAAATACTTGATATAGTGCACACCCCAATACTGCACACTGACTGCGTGTGTCCTTTTCATAACTAAAACAACAATTCCAGATGTTAATTACAGTAAACTACAGGCTAGTTTACCTCTGGGTGGTTTGCTTGTTTTTAGGAACCAAGCTGAAAGACCTAAACATCAACAGAGCGCTATGTTACTGCTCTCTGCCTGACAGAGTACTGATTTATACTCATCATGCTATTTAAATACTCTCCAAATACATCACTGTATAGTTATTATTTGCAAAACCCAAAAGAAGCATCCCACAGCCACACAGTTGACATTCCATCAGCGGAATGTCAACAGGTAATGTCGGCTATGAAAATGTCAGATTGCTGTACCAACTTATGAATATTTGGATTTTATATTAGATGTTAATCTGTCTTTTTAATTGCATGTAGAACAACTGATAAAGAAGTTAAAGTTGAAGATTTTATTAACAGTTTTTACTCAACAGGCACGACAAAAACCAGTTGAAGCTACTTTTTTACCTATTTTAGATTATGGTGATATTTTTATAGACATACTTCAAAGACAACGTTGCACTCACTGGACTCCGTTTATCATTCTGCACTAAGATTAATAACATTCAACTCATCACTGTGAACTTTACGAAATGGTTGGTTGGCCTTCACTTTCAGTGTGAAGACAAATTTATGGGATATTTTTTGTCTACAAAGCGATTACCGATCAGCTTCCTTCATATTTGTCTGCATTCACACCAACAAATAAGTCTCGGTACCAGTTACGTTCTAATAGTTATATTCAGCTGGATGTTCTGATAGTACGGTCTGAATATGGTGAGACAGCTTTTAGTTATGTTGCTCCATCTTAATGATCTGCAAAAACATTTGAAATTAGAGCAGTTTATTTCTCAAGTGATTTTAAGAAGAACCGTATCATTGTGTTTGTTTTTGTTTTTAATTTGGTTTTGACACAGATTTGGTTTTGTTGGTTGCGGTTGTGGTTTGTTGGTGATTCTTCGTTGATTGTTGTGCGTGCTGCCTTCTTGGCCAGGGCTCTCTTGCAAAAGAGATTTTTAATCTCAGTGTGATTACCCAGGTTAAACAAAGATCAAATAAAATAATTTATTGTTTTTATTTATTTTGTTATCTTTGAGTCTAGATTTTTTAAATATTTATAGAAAATATATCCAGACATCTGTAATTGCCTTGTGAACACTGCATCAGCATACACACTGCATACACACTGCACATCACTAGAATCATATTGTTATTGTGCCTGAGGAAGCTTGATGGGTAATACACCAACAACTAAGTTAAATCAAAGACTGTATGAATCCTCACTGGTTAAATACGCTAGCGGCTGAGTGAAGAATGTTAATGTCTGCTCATGGCTGAGTGAAATACAGCAGTACCGGAGTTAAATCTGCAGCAGCTGAAATACTTCAGTAAGTTAACAAAGTGGCTGAGGGCAAAAACCTTTTGTAAACATATACGGGCTTCAAGTGACTTGAAAATTCTGACCTACATGAAGGAACAGGCACTTACGCCACACACCAGGTAGGAAAGTCTGTAAACGGGAGACCAGGTAACGTTAGCATGTCTAGATCATCACTCCACTGGCTGTTTGGGAGTTTGCGTGGATCCAGATGGTCAAAAAGGCTAATTTTAATATTATATTAGTTGTTTGACATCCCTCTGGAGCTGGTTAAGATACACTCCCCTTTCATTTGATTTATTACAAAACATGACAAGCCTGAAAAAACACAATAACAGCATCTCTCTTGAAGCTCTCACAGCATGTAAACAAAGTACAAACCCTGCCAATATGGCGGAACGATCCCATAATGCAGCGCGATGTCACGTCCATTCCCAAGCCATGTACACTTGAGCTGATGCTATTGCTATTTGTAAAAGTAGGCCTAATCAAAAGTACACCTAATGCACCTTCATGTTTTTAAAGGTGATCTTGCTGGTTGCTGTGACTTTTTTTGACGGATATGAATAAATAAATGCTACGCTTAGCTTGGAAAGTTTGAAATAAACAAAAAATTGTTATTGAGTGTGTTTTAAGACTACTTTTGTGCACTGTAAGTAAGCAATTGTTTGGCAAAAATAAAAATAAATACACAATTTACAAACTTACAAACATAGTCGATCAGTCAAGACACTGAAGCTATGAGGCTAATGTAGCTAACAAGTAATGGGAGCTTAAACGCCAACCAGAATTGTGCAAACTGCACATCTAAATTATCACACATCTTCAAACTGCATCATTTTGTTATGCAAATGTGCTAATGTGGTTTCTGACACTGTATGACACACCGGCGTCGATAAAAACTGACAAAACAGGGACAAAAAGTCAGGCTTCATTGTGGCTCCTGTTGTTTTCACCCATCCCACACTATTGTCCAGCTTCAATCACTTGTTAGCTACATTAGCCTTGTAGTTCTAGTGGAAGAAACTAAAGATGCAAACTTCAGACACCAAATACTATGGTAAATCTTAGTGGGCTGACTTCACTTGGGACAAAGCGAAAACAGTGCAAATTTGAATGGAATGTTTAGGGGGAAACAAACAAACAAACAAACAAACAAACACTAGCACTTACGAAGCAGGGAAGCAGAAAAGAACTGATACTCGTCCTCTCCGTTATCGTAGTCCAGTGGTGTGCTGTATTCCTCCAAGGCGGTGCCCTCCAGACCTTCGTCCCCCCAGTAATCATCATCGTCGTCGTCATCATCTTCATCTTCGTTGTCATTGCCACTGGAAGCACTGGCTGGCTGCATGCTGGAACTCTTCTCTCCCACCTCATCCTCATCACTTGGAATCTCCTCTGAGAAATCAAACATCCCAGTAGATTCTATAACCTATTTTACAGTCATCCCACACAGAAAATATGCAGTCATATCTATTATACCTACATTATACAACAGTTAGTTCTGGCCACGTGTGCTGTTATTTCGCCATAACATCACGGGTTTAACAAACACTTTATCACTCTGCTGAGATGCCGTTGCTAAGCGACGACTTTGACAGCTGTAGGAGACGCTGAAGCCATTTGAACATTGCTACTTCTTACTTTGCACGAACAGAAAATGGACACTTTTAAGATCACATTTGACCGACAGCCGATTTGGTCAGACTCTGAAGATGAGACTGCACTAAATTCCCAAACTGTCATCACCACTGAGCAGCTTTTCAGTCGGCAGCTGTGACAGAAACAACCTGGAATCAGCCAGAAATTAACCAAATACCATTCGCCAGACGTGTTGTTTCGTCTTCAGAGTCTGACCAAATCAGACTGAGCCATAAAACTGCCGCAATATCAAGTTTAGCTCAGTTTTGTAATTTTTTGCCAGATCAATATTTATGTTGTTTTGTTCCAGCCGGTCTGTAAAGCATCTTACTGCCCATTTAGTTTGGTGAATGGTATTCAGTTCATTTCTGGCTGATTCCAGGTTGTTTAGCTGTTCTTCTGTCACAGCTGCCGACTGAAAAGCTGCTCAGTGGTGATGACAGTTTGGGAATTTGGTGTAAGGAGCTGGAGAACGAACTGCCGGCTGTGCAGCGAGTGAGCGGAGCTCGTTACTCTGACGTAGCAACAAGCTGCTTGTTAAGGAACTATAATTTGGTGGAAGGAATTGCTAACATTAAAACATATTAAATGAGACGTTCACGGCCCAGTTTATTAATTTCATACTTTATTTATTTAACTGTTGTATAAAAACAATGGAGCACTCGAGGTCGTGTGTTATCGTGCCCGCGACCAAATCAGAGCCATGATGTTATTTGCGATAACACAATCCCTCTCGTGTTTTACTGCTTAACTGTAGCACAGAGTGGTTATTGTTTTCCAAAAGTAGAGCTGTGCAATTCACTCCTGCTGTCTTTGCACACAATGCTATTAGTGAGCATGGAAAAAGGCCGCATAGCAACTAACTGAAGCTGAAATTTGGGTTGGCGTGGCTAGAGAGGGATACAGGTAAATGAGATGAGGAATTTCAGCTTGGAAAAACACTTCTGGGCATCTGTGACCGCCTTAAAAGTACGTCTGTACACTTGGCTACACAAGAACATTGGAAAGCTAGAGGGGGTTGTAGGGAAATGCAGTGTAATTAACTCCCATTTATTTCAGTCAGCTGCCTGATGCCTCAGGTTTTAGAGGTGGTGATGATAAACCAGTGGACTGAGTACTGCTGTGACTGGAGAGAAAGAAATATGCAGAGGTTTAGCCAGAAACTACAGCACCTTCGGAAATTCTGAAAAAAATAGTAATGTTTTAATAACAATAATAACTGGTGGTGTCGAAGATAATTCATTAACACAGTGCTGAAGCAATAAATTATTAAAGGGCCCATTTCATGGAAAACATCCCTTGCATTTTTAATAAGAATGAGTCTGATGTGATACATAAACATACAAACATAACGTTTCTTAGGATACGTTTTCACAGCAGGTAAAAGTGGCCCAAATCCGATCTTGAGGCAAAGATGTGTGTCTGTGTGTCAGTGTGAACAGCAAAAACACATTGAATCTCACATTTTCAATTACGATTTGAGACGCTTTCATATGTGGTACTGAAATCCGATATGCAGCAATGCAACAGCCAGATCGGAATTCATGACTTTTACATCTATCCAACTCGACATTCGTCATCATTCTGCACAGCTGAGACCTCAAACATTTAGGCTGAATTAGAAGGCACTTCTGTTCAAAGAGATTTTGAAAGAAATTACTGAACATGGTCGTAGGAGGCTGAGGCTGCAGTGCCAAAGGAAAGTCTGAAAGCAAAGTTTAAAGAATCGGAGGATGCGAACCAAAGAAGAGACCGTGTCCGAATAACGTGCCTTTTTTACAGTGAGCTCGAACACATTCTGGGTGACGAGCTCAGCTGTCAGGCTTTGGAACTTCATGATGGCTCCTGTGATGTTGGAGAAGATGAAGCTGAATCCTCCAGGAGCAACTGGGGTTCGTTCATAGTCATGATTGTTTACCTCTGGATGAGCCGCGTGAAGCTCTGTTCTTCTTTTGCACATGTGGGTCAGTTTAGGAGCTGATCTGTTCAGACTGATGTCGCATACAGGTCACATTTAAAAGATATTGTGAACAGCCAAACCAAAAAATTGGATTTGGTGAGAAAATCCGATTTGGGCCACTTTTACCTGCTGTGTAAACGTAGCCTAAATGTACCATTCAGTCCCCAGTCCATAGTCCACATATGGAAACTGAGCTGCAAAAATGGCTCATTTTGAATTCACTGTTTTCATGATGTCACAAAAATATTGGCGTTTACACGCATCCAGTTATTCAGTCTACAGCAGTTTAGCCCCCCATTCATGCTGAAGTTATAGGGAGCGTTCCAGCTCTGAGGACTTTTTTTATGAGGCACAATATAGGGCGGCCAATCAGAACAGAGTCTGTGTACATACATTAGTCTTGGGGTGCTTCACACCTCCATTGTTTGGTACGGACCTACTTTTTTCTTTAGTTCGGTCCATTTTGACAGATGTGAACACTCCACCTGCATCTGAGTGTGCACTAAACAACTGAACTTTGGTCCACCAAAATTCATGGGTCTTGGTTCACAATTAAGTAGAGCAAATGAACCCCGGTTCAGTTCGCTGCTGTTGGGAACGCATCTTTGTGACGGTCCACACTAAACAAGGGAATTCAACACTAGTGCATGCCTTCCTCTTCTTCTAGGAGCACCAAACTGTCCACATAATCTGCCTGTTCTAACGTCCGACTGATAGATGCTCATAATACTCTTGCAGCACAAGCTGCTGCTAATAATGGCACAGGAGTGATAAAATAAAAGCAAAGTAATGCCCATAATTAATGCCTTAACACATGGATTGTGTCTCAGCCACCTGGTTGTTACATTCAATTTGACAAACCAAACATAAAAAAGCAGATTTCAATAAAGTTTCATTATTATTGCCATGACTGTCATACACGTAGACATTAAGCGCCTCCATTTTCACTCAAAGATGGGAGTTTTTTTAGCGCTAATGGAGGCAAATGTGAGCGTAACAGAGCACTTGTGTTCCTGCAAAGTTTCTGACAAATAAACAAACACCCACAAGTTTAATCTGCTGCACTTCAGCCATTGCAGTGCGAAACCGACCGAATCACATGAAAAAGATACAATGTCATAAAAATCCAACCTCTAGTGTGAAGTTTAGCAAAAAAACTAGATATGAAAACAGCTTTAAAGGCACAGTAACAAAAACAGCCTGTTTAATTCTAAGGGATAAAAACTGCTTGGAAAATGCCCGTGTAGAAATTAATTATGATGTCATAACAAGAGAGGAACCGGTTTTGGTGCTATATAGAACACTTAAAACCGGTTCTATATAGAACCATATACAATACATTCTCCATCAATCTGAAAAACCATTTCACCATGCAAAGAACCCTTTGAGCTCACAAATGGTTTGTTGAGTATATTCAAAATATTCCATTGTCTTTACTAAAGGACCCTTAAAGAACCATCTTTTTTTTAAGAGTGTTCATAAAACCACATGAACATTGTAAGTGGACCTCAGAAGAAAAAAAAAAAGAAGAAAAATGTAGAATATGAGACCTTTAATAGGGGGGAAAAACTTTGTTAGGGTCACATTTGAGCAAATAAGATAAATTAACTACACAAAAGAATATGACTGAGATGACTTATTACTTATTTTAATTGTTTCACAGCCCTAACAACAACAAAAACAGAACACAAAGCATTAAAAGCACTGAAACCAATGCAGTAATCCACACATACACAGCTCCAGCTCTAGAGGGCAAAAGCTCCGCATGGTACAGCGTTTTCCACACCTGATTCAACACATCAGCTTATCGAGCCCTACATGAGCTGAATCAGGTGTGGCAGAGAAGCGGAAACACAAACTCATATAGGACTATCTCCCTCCAGCTGAGAGCCCTGTGATACAGATGGAAACCACAGCAAAGGCTGAATCCACGCCGGCCTCTTACCGTTCTCATCCTCGTCGGTGCCCTGCACCCTGGAGAGCGGCTCGGGCTTGTTTAGGACCCGGGAGGCATAGATGTGTTTGAGGCCCAAGAAAAGGAGCAGGATGGAGGGGATGATCTGACTGGCCACTCCTTCCAAAACGGCCGGCCTGCTAGACAGCTCCATGAGCAGACTCAGGCCGATGATGCACATCTTACGGTCGTGCAGCCTGCACAAAGAAACACCACAGACATTACACTAGGCCAGGGGTCGGCAGCCCAAATGTTAAGAAGAGCCATTTTGTCCTTTTAACAAAACCAAACCATCTTGAGAGCCACAACATTTTATATCCATTTTACCATCTTGGCTGTAAGTATGTCTCAGTATATGCTAATGTTCTAGTATAGGATAAAAATATGATATGAACAAAAACACAGACTTACTTTGCTCTGCTTTAAGCTTTAGCTCAGCTATAGTTGCTTTTCTCGCATCTCTGGCAGGAAACTTTTCCAAAAGTAGAACAGTTTCTTGTAAAATGTCTCTCAGTGTTCGGCTTTTTACGAGGCTGAAGTCAGTTTCTCGTTCGCCAGCTTCTTGTTTGAACTTTCCCGCTCAACCTGCTGCACCGTTTAAGGGGGAATGGGAAAATTCAAACAAGAAGGACGAGAAGCTTCATGACTTTTTAGTGTTTGACAGTTTCTCATTGCAGATTAAACGTATCAGGAAACCAGCCGGAGTGATTATAAGTGCAAATAAGTCAATTCGTCTCTAAATTATCGATGTTCGTTCTAAATCTTTCCCTTCACCTTTTTCGTTAGCTACTAGCTAGGCGAGATTGTCTGTGTTGCTATGGTGACCAGCAGTCTGCACACCAACCTTCAGGGTTAAAGAGTGAATTAGCAGTTCTACATTAAATGGTCTTAAACACTGGAGTTATTGTTATAACTGTTAGAATTATTTTAGTATTTATTTTAGTTTAACTAAAAACAGGGCAGTTACAAAGCTGCGTGTTGCCGACCCCTTGTACTACGGCCATACCAGGTCTAAAAACCTCACTGGACAGGCAAATACTGTCAATAATAACGGACGAAAACAGGGGGGGCCAGTTAATTAGCTCCCGATTGTTAGCCATATTAGTGTTTAGGATGAAAGTCCATCAAACAACAAAATTATTGATGTATAGTGGTCACCTTCGCTAACAACTGAATGGGAGAATCCCATGGACAAGATTAGAGCTGCCATAAAACAATTCCTAGTAGTAACACCACGTATATCATGTTTTATGTGTGCTTTAGGGTGTAAGAGGGCATACCCGAGGAAGAACTCAGTGTCGTTCATCCACTGGTTGATGAACTGGGCGGTGATGGGTTCGGGGCTGTGTGGGAAGCGGATGTTCTCAAGTGTGTGCATCAGCAGTGAGGGGTTGTAGTACAGCGCAGCGATAGCCACCTGCAGACACATGGTGCGTAGCTCCGTCGACTTTACACCCCGCGTCAGCCGCTCCAACACCGCTTCCACAAACAGTGGGATACACTGAGAGGCACAAACATAATGACCCTTCTTAATCTCATGAAAAACATATTTATGGTGGGTTGTGTTTTAGTATACACAATGCAAAAATAAGGCTACGCTCACATTACAAGGCTCATTGATCAAATCTGATTTTTTGCTCAAATCCGATCTCTCTGACACGATGGTTTTCACTGATGTGAACGAACCGGTGTCCTGAAATGACTCGCATGCGCACATCCTACTCAGTAAGGTCACATGAATGTGAATTAACTCTGATCAGCTCTCAGCTTCTTTATTTGAGCAAGACGAAGGCGAAAAAGATGAGATGTGTTGCTTTTCCACCATTTACAGGCTTTAACGTCTGTTCAGTGCTGCTGCCATGGTAACGCCGAATGATGGCGCACGCGCAGTGAGGGGAAAAAAAGCACATTAAATCCGATCTGAGCGTCACATGGCCACGAATCGGATACGCATCCGATCTAGGACCACATATGAAAGTGACTCAGGTCGGAATTGAAAAGATCAGATTTGCGTGTCCACACAGCCCTGAAAACATCAGATCTGAGTCACAATAGGTCAAAAAATTTGTGCCACTTTAACCTGGTAACGTGAACGTAGCCTAAGACACTGTCTCTTATACACAATGTCTTACTCATTGGGTCACTTTAGCTATGGAGATTCTTCACTGAAAGGAAAATTTAGTCCAGGACTAGTCTTAATCCCTGGCCAGGACACCAATCAACTGTCTGTTGTCCTGTACAGAAAGGAAGTGTTTTTCAAACTGAACTCCATTTACTTCAGCACAGCATTTTAAACCAAAAGAATTAGTGTTTTTTCTAAGTACAAGCAAAAATGACTGTCTGCGGTAATCACTACTTTAATTTTTTTGTATTTACTTGTACTGTTATCGCCTTATCTGCTCGGCTGCTGTTGCCTTGTGGTAAATGTACGTAGGAATTCCGGGGGAATTAAAATTTGTCCCCCCCCCCTCCTGACTGTGATGAGGAGCACAAAAGCTTGACTTGGCTGAATTTCTACTCCACAGCTACACTGGGCTGACTATGTGGTTTACAACTGCTGTACAGCGCCTTTGTAATGCTGTTTCCACCCCAATCTGGCAGACTACCAGACTCTCCCCCTGGCTGACCTGGTCAATGCCCCGGCCACGACACTGTAAAATGATGACCTCCAGGAGTTTGGCAGCATGGCACTCTGCATCCTCCCCTGCATCGCTTGTTAGGACCTGAGGGTCAGAGAGCAAGAAAGCTCAACAACAGAGAACACTCAAAACAGACAAATTCAGGCATTATAACCTGCGTAAGCCCACCTTTTTGCACATGGTGTAAATGACCTCCAAGTGTTTGGGATTTGAGAGTAGTGTGTCCGTGTCCACAGTTACGTAATTGTGCAAGAGAGGCATCATATCTGCAGAGACACAGCAAACGCATCATCACTGCCATCATTAATACAGTATGAACAATATATTGACTTATTTAATCATGGCTTACTTGGTTGAAATTTTGTTCATTTCTTTATTTACTTTTTTTAAACAACCAAATTGTAGTTAAGCAGGAAATTTTTTTTTTACAGTTTTTACAAAATGTCCACATAATTTAATGGTTGGACTGTCATTCAGAGTGGTTTGATGTGAAATGGTTCATTGCAGAGAAACTTACCAGATTTCTTTACAGTGGCGGAGATGGGGGTGTGTTTGTACTATTGTGCCTGAAACTGCCCTGCATGAATTTTAAAAGTACTTTTAAGGCCAAATCCTTTGCATCGAGGTTTCAGGCACCAGGCAAAGTATTTGTGACCATTTCATGTAATAACTTTCTGTGGTGGAGATTTCAGAGGAATTAAACGCATAAGACTGGTACCCTAACCTCTGGCCACGGGCTGGAGGTTAGAGTACCAGCCTTGTGACCAGAAGGTTGCCGGTTCTATCCCAATCAAAGTGCCCTTGAGCAAGGCACCCAACCCCCAACTGCTCCTCGGGCGCTGTGACGAACAGGTTAAACGCAGAGGTGAAATTCCTCTGTGTGCAAGCACAACTGGTCAATGGTTCTGAATCCTGACTCTGTACGTTTCTCTAAAATGGCTAATTCGCAAATCAAAACACTCTGAAAGACTGTGACTATGTTTTCATGATTTGATTACTTAAACTGTTTTTAAATATGTGGAATTCCCCTTAATAATCTCTGAGATTTCTGCAAATGGGCATCTGAACCACAGAGCTAGTGAACCATCAAGTTAAAGCATTGTTTATTTTTACTGGACATATTGTTCGAGCACATCTGCTGTGTAATGCACAGAGAACTAAAGAGCAATGGAAATTTGTAAAGATGATTCCAAGAGGAGGGGGCAAGGGGGAGGAGTGCTGATTAATTCACATTTAGTAGAAAATCAGGTTTTTTGGTTGGCCCAAAAAAAACAAACAAAACAAAACATCAGCCGTACATTAATGCACATATTTACTGTTTCTTTAAATAGCTAATTTTAGTCATTGTTGCCCATTTGCTTCCTAATTTAGTCACTGTCATTTCCACGGCAGAATCTGTCGTCAATATGACTGACCAGGGCTCTGAGAAAGACAGAAACTTTCTGGCCGGTACAGACAGGCAATAACACCATCGTTAGCAAGGGCTGTTGTGGAGTTTGGTCCAACCTGTGAAGTAGTCGAAGCAGTCGTGCTGGAAGACGTCATAAAGCACCCCCAGCAGCTGCCACATCTGAGGGGAGATGGTCTGGCAGGTGAGACCAAAGGCCAGCGACAGAATCTCCTCATAGAACTCTGAGACAGACAGAGAGACAGTGCGAGTGGGTGACGCCTTAATTTAGACTCTAGATTCTGGCATCACCTTCAAAGCAATACAAGAATATAAACCTACAGTACCAGTCAAAAGTTTATCATCCAAAAAGACATAATTACCCACAGAAAGGGTTTCCTTATTTTTGCTTTGTAACACAATTTAAAATAACAGTGAAACTACTGATTCTCAGACATGAAGATTAAAGACACCAAAACCCGAAAGAAAAGAATTCTTTCATATATAATATTCGCCATTTTATTTATGCTTTGGAATTAACATAATAATGCTGATGATGGCGACAATCGCCGTGTAGGGAATGTGAACTGACAGAGAACAAGCTGGCTCATTTAATTTTAAACTGCTTGATAAATAATAAATGTTAAAAGTTGTAAAATAACAAAAAATTTTATATTCATGGCTTAGGCACCTAAAGCTGAATTTCAGAGGTCCGCTGTGACGACAGAAAGCACCATTTTTAAAATACGTAATGGTTGTGAACGTGGCCTTGAAACTCCTGCCTAGCAGTCTGGAGTTTCTCCACCAGGGGGCACATCAGTAGCTTTAGTGTTCATCATTTAGAGATTAATGAGGATTTCATAACAGACCATGTTTGAGTGTTTCACTGTTGATCCGCTGCAGCCCCAACTGTTTGAATGCATCTGCACTGAGCGAATGAAGGAAACAAACAGCGTTTTTAATCACTGTTTCTCCTTTTCATTATTATTAAGATTATTATTTGTTTAGTGTTTTAGTATTTAGTCTTTTGCTTTTGTGGCCAAAATGGTTGTCCTTTTTCCCTCTTTTTCAAGTGTATCCATCCTTAAGAACCTACTTTTCCATAGAATATGACAGCATTTTTACCAGCATGTCGATTCACACAGGGTTAATATAAATTGTGGCTATTTCTATGGTTTGTTTTGTAGTAGGTAAAGGGTGTCGGAATCTTTACTGATACAGGAGCGCCGAGTCTGTAAAAATGACCAACATGGCCCATTCAGACAGGACTAAAATCACTGAGAAACAGAGGTAAGAAATTACATTACCTTACCACCTCATGAAAAACCCTGCCCAAACAGCGCTTAAGACAGCTTCATAAGGAGCTGCCTGTGGTGCTTTTCCTGTAGTCCTTAAGAAGTTCCACATCCACTGAGCACTTGTAGGAAACTGAAAACTACTTGTTGAGCGGGCACTTTATTTCAAACAGCATGTTTTAAAAAGCAAAAGTTTTTCTTATGGAAATAAATTCAAACATGGGCATGAACTATTTATATTTGTTATTTATATTAAGCATTTAGATCAAAATGCCTACATTCAATCAGGTGTGTCCAAACTTTGGACTGGTAGTGTAAAAAAAAAGTACAAGAGCTCCACCATGTGGCCAAATATACTGCATATTAAACTTATTGCTGTCATTATATTATGTACACAGAAACAACTCCACAGACACACCTGCCATACCTATGATGGGCTTCTGGAGCACCAGACCAATCACCTGCAGGCAGATGCCCTCCAGCTGCTGAGTTATCTATGATGCAAAAGAGAGATGCTGTGTAGTTGTGTCTAATGACTGAACACATAACCAGTCTACAGCAAGTTCATTTCATTTTGCTATCACAGTGCGATCAGGCATAACATGATGACCACCTCCTTGTTTCTACGCTCATTGTCCATTTTATCAGCTCCACTTACTATATAGGTGCACTTTGTAGTTCTCAGCACTGCAGTAACACTGATGTGGTGGTGGTGTGTTAGTGTGTGTTGTGCTGGTCTGAGTGGATCAGACACAGCAGTGCTGCTGGAGTTTTTAAACACCTCAGTGTCACTGCTGGACTGAGAATAGTCCACCAACCAAAAATATCCAGCCCACTGCGTCCTGTGGGCAGCGTCCTGTGACCACTGATGAAGGACTAGAGGATGACCAACACAAATTGTGCAGCAGCAGATGAGCTATCGTCTCTGACCTTACATCTACAAGGTAGGAGTGTCTAATAGAGTGGACAGTGAGTGGACACACCACCAGTCAGTGTTACTGCAGTGCTGAGAATGATCCACCACCCAAATAGTACCTGCGCTGTGAGGGTCCATGGGGGTCCTGACCACTGAAGAACAGGGTAACAAAGTATGCAGAGAAACAGATGGACTACAGTCTGTAACTGTAGAACTACAAAGTGCACCTATATAGTAAGTGGAGCTGATAAAATGAACAATGAGCGTAGAAACAAGGAGGTGGTCATAATGTTACGCCTGATCGGTGTATGTCTGCAGGTATAGACCTCTTTGTGGTCCTCCATGACGGTGAGGATGGTGTCTATGGTGCTGAGAATACCCAGTGCCATCACCGTCTTATCTTCACTCTCCTCATACTCCTCACTCTGCAGAACCTTGCTGAAGATCTCTGCCTGCACACAGGAGATGTTTACACCATCAGCTGAGCACATGTTCTGTTTCGTAGTGTGGTAACTCTCACAATACTAGCAAGAAGTATGAGCATTTAGGGAAAAGCAAGAAAATAAAACCTACACATTTTCTTTATATTAAGACATATGTAGACAGACACTGTACCAGGTTCTGAGTCATGTCCACTGCTATCACTGCCACTTCTTGGTTGTATTCGCAAATCATCTTCTGAATGACGCTCGTGAGATCATCGTTCTCCGTCTCCTTGATGACGTGCAGCAGCTCCTGCATCACAGGCCTGATGAACGGCCTGATGTAGATCTTAGCTACACACATGACAGACAAGAAGCTTTTTTAAGCTCTACAGGCAGCCAACAGCAGTAACTAAAAAAAACTCACTGAAGCACTGAAATAAGCACCCACAGTCTAAGCCTGTCATAATTATCACATAATCGCCTCACTGAAATTATTGAAGCTGATCGCTATTATCCACAGTTCTTGGCTTTCAAAAAACGACGTTGTCGACATTGCAAAAAAACAGCAATTAACTGCCAGCTAAAATTTCACGGTCACTACAGGCCCACTAGTATCCAGGGCATGAATTGGGGAGCATAAGCCCTGCCTCTTTGCCCCTCAGACTGTTCAGATGCCCTCTTGGTCGGCATGTGTAGGAATTGTGTGTTATAAGGCCCTTCTTCAAGATCAGTTTCAGCAAGGCTTAGTGCAGCCTTACTCTGGCAACAGAGCTCGGCTTGGGTTTCATGAGCTTCGTTGCTCTTGAACACCCCCGTTTGGTTCAGTACCGGCCACCTGGGGAGAGTAACTCCACTCTGTCGCTTATGCGTGCATCACCACAGCACCGGAAATGCCATTAATAAAGCATAATGTTTCATTATGAAAGTGTAACGTTGCATAATGTGGTTATTTTAAACAACAAGCAAGCAGACAGCAGTAAGTGGCGCAAATAACCTGCTAAACCAAGTTTCTGTTACTGTTTAAACCGATTAAAGCGATTATTCTAGACTCTCTGGAGCTCTAAAATAGAGCTCTAACTCACTGGTTCATAGTGATAAAATAACATTACAGACCTGATAGGGCAGTAAAGCTAATATTTCTTGGTTGCCTTGGAAATATTTGAAAACAGAAAATCCACTTTCCACTTTTATTCTATTCAGTTATTAAAATTAAACATATTTTTTCATTCTATTGTGAAACATTAGTATAATTTTTGGAATGATATTTAAATTGAAAAATGTGTCAATATTTTGGCTGTGAATGTGAGAGACTAACCTTGCTCCTGGTTGCTGACCAGAGTCTGCAGAGCAATGGCTGCTTCCACTTTGACGGGCATCTCCTGGTCAGCGATGAGGTCTTGTTTGACCAGCTCCACAGCGTTCCTCAGGACCAGCTCATTGTGGAACTTCAGAGGGCTGAAACAGTGCAGAACCCAGCAGGACTGCACACAACACAAAATACAGCACAGCAACACCGATTTTAGCACACGCAGTAACTGCATCTCGCCCTATTCATGCTGAACACAGCACTTCATGTACACCAAGTAAAATTTGCCTTTTCAATGAATTAGTCAGCTGGCAAATTAATAACATGATAAAACATTTTAAAATTCACTTATAGTTAGAAACCAGACGGACACACTTTGCTCATTTAATGCCTTTTAATTAAGCCTTCTCGAATAATACTATTACTACTACTACTACTACTAATAATAATAATAATAATAATAATAATACATTTCTTTATATAGCACCTTTTACACATTAAAATGGGAAGCCAAATGAAAGCAAGCACAAGAAAAGAAACAGAAAACATTAGAAAAAAAGGAAAATAAAAGAAATGTAGAAAAAATTAAAATATATACTTCTTAAATTAATAAAGAAACATCAAAAATGATTATAAAAAATATAATAACAAGATAATAAAGAATGGGGAAAATAAGGAATAACGAATCATAGTAAACGATGAAAATAAAAATCTAAAAATCTATAAAAATCGAACATAAAATATGTAATAAAATAATAAAAAAATGACAATTTGATACAATAAATAAAAAGTAAAAGGTGTGTTTTAAGCTGTTTTTTAAGACTGCTTACTGAAAGTGCTTACTGTATGTGGGAGGGAGTCCCACAGTCTGGGAGCGGACATTAAATGCAGGCTTTGTGTTTTTTAAAAGATGCCTTTAAAAACTTTATCCAGTAAAAATTTTTTTAGAATTTATACACAGTTTGTTATTGTTCATCATCAATTTTTGGCCTTTTTTGAACTGTGATTTCTTTATTTATCATCAAAATAACTGGTAGGTGACACGATTAATAATACAATTGTGATAGGGATTGATTTAGGCTGCATTATGAGATTTTAAGCCTTTAAAAACATCAGCAAGTCATCACACAGGTGGTTCTACTCACCCTGGCCCGCAGGTAACCCAGGTTCGAGTTGAGCAGAGGAAACACATAATTCTGTAACATCAGCTCCATCTGATCTCTGTATACTCGCTTCTACACAGAGAAAGAGAGAAAGAGAGAGAGAGAGAGAGAGAGAGAGAGAGAGAGAGAGAGAGAGAGAGAGAGAGAGAGAGAGAGAGAGAGAGATTTGTTGATTTTCTCTACCGAGAACAAACTTAAATGTGGCATTTATCTGGAACATTAAGTCCAAAATTTCTTTTTATTTGCTGAGAAGAAAACAAAAAATACAAAATGTGCCATAACTTTTGCACAGGCCATATTTTACATTTTATCCCCCCCCTAAAATGTTAAATTCAGCAAATAAACATTAATTGTGCATTAAAATGTGTGTTCTCTGTTCTCGGAGGATGTGTTTTTTAAGTGAACGTAAGTTAACATTAACACAATGTCGTTTGACCAGGGGTGCCTAAACTTTTATAAACAACTGTGCTCTGTAAATACTCTCTAAAGGGCCTAGATCATGTGGCGGATCAAGCTCAGTGTTCGATCTCAAACCTTTAGCAACGGGTCAGCTAAGGCACCAATGACATGAAGTGCCCCATCCTTCCTGCGGGGGTCAGCGTTGGGGTCCATCAAAATCTGATGGCAGAACTCCATCATCTGAGGAAGGACCTGATCCAGAAACGAGAGGATGTCAATGCTCATGCAGAGAATATTATATTTCAAAACTAATCCACTCTCACCTACGTATCGCTGCTGTGGAACAAAACCTTGGTAACTTTACAGGAGAAGGAAAAAACATACTTTAATGTAAGTCAATGGTCCTTTTGGTCCATTCTTCATGAAAATTTACACACAATGTAAAGGGGAAGAGGCATTTTCAAATGATGTCAAAAACTGAAAAATGTTTTGTTCCGACAGCAGCGATGTGTAGTTGCCATAAATAACAAGCATAAGCATTTTAAAAAGGAATCCGAAGCTGCTGTGCTCACCTCCTTCCTCATCCTGGATGCTTTGCACAGCAGAGTCTGGGCCGCAGTAGCGGGAAACACGTGGTCATCAAACATATCTGCAGCAGCAAAACAAGAGCACTTCAGCCAACGGGTCAAAACAAGATCCTTCAACAGATCAAGCTTTTAACATCATTTCTGCAGTTGGTCAGGCTTCTTTTCACCAGGGTATATTTTGGTTTGTCCATCTGAATTTACGTGACCAAATCGTAAGGCAAATTATTCAGTAACTGCATGAAATAAATGTAAATTTTTATTTTATTTATTTATTTATTTTGTAAAAGCTCCCCTCAAATTAGCAGAACATGTGTTTTATGATACACATATTGCTATATGCTTACAATTTACTGCTGAAAGCCAAAATCTTAAACAGTTTGTATTTTTCTATAAAAATCATTTTTACAGATCAGATCACTGAAGAGACGCCATCTGTTTATAGTTTATAGCCCAGATTTGTGGAAAAATGGGTCGACTTTCAGTAGAAAAAAAAATTGCAAGTTCAGCTTCTTTTATTATCAGGGTTTAAAATTACATCACCCATCTATTTGACTGGAAAGGAGACAGTTACAGCTCTCATATGACTCCCACCTTCGGAATGTAGCTTATGAAATATTAAAGTTATGAAGAATATGACGAAGTGTGTTTCAGGACCACTGGTGGTCTCAAGGAGTTGAAAAGGTTAAAGAGGAATATAGATGTTTTTCTGCATAATTCAATCATGGAAATGTAAAAGTCAGTCAGAGTGGTTTGGTGTGAAATACTCCATTCTAGAGAAACTTATCGCTGTTGTCGGAAAGAAAACCTTGTATCTCCAAAATCACAACTTTACAGGAAAAGGAAAAACTACTTTACTTTTAATGTAAATCAACGGAACCAGACTCCCACCCACCCCACCCCCCCAAGTCATTTTGGGCTGTTTCTTTTGGTCATTTCATCGTGAAATTTACACATAATGTAAAGGGCGACAGGCATTTTCAAATTATGTCAAAAACTGAAAAACATCAAAAATGGAGATACAAGGTTTTGTTCTGACAGCAGCGACATACATGAAATGGTATAGCGAGTGAGTGAGCTGTCTGATGCCTGAGGCATTGTCTTATGATAGTTCTGAGAAGATGTTGGTCTTTTTTAAAGAATAGGTTCATGGGGGAGAAGTACATGCTGGGTGTTGTGAGGCAAAACAGTCCCTAAAGAAAACTTTAGATTTACAACAATTTTACCATAATCAGCATTACACATACAAACTCAGAAGACGTGTAGGTCCACTGGTGGTTTTGGATAGCAAATAAAATGGCTATATTTGTGTTGTAGACATGGCAACCCCTGGCTCCCATCACCACCACCAAAAAGTAAAGAAAAAGTTAGTACGTTTTTTTTCTACAATGCACATAAAACCACTCTGAATGACTTTCTCAACAACTGAATTCTGCAAAAAGTGGTGGAATTCTCCTTTAAAGCGAGGTTTTTGTTTCTGTAGTTTCGCACTAGAACTGCTCATCATGCTAAATCATCTCTCTTCACCCTCAAACTGTGACAGTTAGTCTCTGAAAGCTTTGCTGACACTTCACCCTGCTGTACGTTACACAGCTATGAACAGTGATGCTGACCGCGCTCCCACACTTTTTTGTTTTTCTTTCTTCCTTTCTGTTTTTCTTATTTATTGCTCTTTTTTCTTCCTTCTTTCCTTTTTTGTTTCTTCTTTTTTCCTTCACTCCTTCTCTCTTCTTCTTCATTTCCTTCAACATTTCTGTTTCTCTTTTCTCCCTTTTTTGCTTTTCTTATCTTCATTCTATCTTTGTTTTTCTTCCCTCTTCCTTTCCTTTATTTATTCTTTGTTATTCTTACTTCCTTTAGTCTTTTTCTGTTTTTCTTTCTTATCCTTCCATTTTTCTTTACTTCATTCTTTGTTTTTTTATCTTCCTTCTTTCTATCAGTTTTACCTCCTGCTTTCTTTCCTTTATTCATTCTTTGTTTCTCTTCCTTATTTCCTTCCTTTAGTATTTTTCTGTTTTTTTCTTTCTTATCCTTTCATTTTTCTTTCCTTCATTCTTTCTTCTTTCTTTTGTTTTTCTTTTCTTTCTTTAGTTTTTCCTTTTCTTCTTTCTTTCTTTTATCCTTCCCTCCTTTCTTCTCTCCTTCTTTTGTTCTTTTTGTACTGATGTTATTCTCTCGATTGTCATTACAAAGAAAAGCCTTGAATTCTTTTAGAACAATAAAATATTAGAACTTTGATTTACTGATTGGTTGATTGGGCTGTTGGATTTGTTTTGGGGTCCTACAGAGTCTGACAGCAGTGTAGTAGTTGATTGTAAAGTATTGTACAGCACTTATGTATTGCATTGTATTATATTGCACTGCTCTGTGTTTAACTCTGTTCTTTTTTCTCTAGGTGTCAATAATGACTTTCTGATTCCAGCAGTATCTGAGCTCAGGACTGGCTTTCTCTCTAACCTATGGGTAACTAGCGAAGATACTTTCTATGGATAGACAAAGCACTTTTTGTAAGTCGCTCTGGATAAGAGCGTCTGCTTAATGATGTAAATGTAGTAGTGGGTGGATGATGTTGTGGAGTCTTGGTTTGGCCTTCAGTGTATTAGATCTAGGCCTGACTCCAGTCTTGTATCACCTCTATTAGTTATTTTTTTCCCTATAGAACTCACAGTATCACTGCCTTGGTGGTGTTTGTGCATCCTCTGACCCTTTGACCTCTGCATTACCAGTTATTGCTTTCTCAGATTAAAAGTTCTCATTCAAATGTGGGGTAAAGTGTGTGATTTGCACCGTGCTGAGTGGTGTAATTCCACTCATAGCTTCAGTGAAAAACTAAAGACTTTAAACATGTCTCGCCTGATCAACTCCATTTGGAAAACTGTGTAAATCTCATTGCTTTAACATTCATTAACTCAATTTTGTTTACTGATATAATGAGAGGGAGGGAAAAAAAAAAAAAAGATAAAACGACAGAGACAGATGGACGGGGCTTACAAATGAGAGAACAACAGAAGGAAGTAGATGGCAGAGAGACAAAGAAGGGAAAAAAAAACACTAACTGAATTTCATGCGAATGTACTCGTATGGATCTTCCTGCCACAGCTTTTCATCCTCATCCTTATAGCACATCAGAGGAAACACCACCTCCTGAGTTATGGTCTGGAAAACAGAGAAAGAAGAGCACTTCAAAGCAAACAGACGTCATCAAAACAGTGTATCTGTAATACGCGATTCACTGGTACATTTTCCTCCAGCGCACAGAATCACTGTTCATTCAGACCTGCATGTGCGGCTTCATCTGTTTCCACGTCATGGAGTGAGAGACGCTCTGGGTCAGGTAGTTCAGAGTCTGCTGTAGTACACGTGGACTCACGTACTGCTTCTGTCTGTGCAGCTCGACCACCTTTAACAAGACCTGCAGCGATACAGGACGACCGACTCATTCCACAGACAATTATTTTTAAATGACATTTATGTTTAATGTAATTTACCTCAATCCTGCAGCCGCAATTCTTTTAGACATTGTAAAAGACCCTGCAAACCACATGCAGTGCTTACCTGCTGAATTCCAACAGCGTACGTCTTCAGAAAAAAATCCGCAAACTCAAAGTATTCCTTTGTTACGTTGCCTGGGCTTCCATACCTAAGAAAGAGGAAACATTATCATGGTTTGTGATATCAATATATTGTATTAGTGAACAAAAGAGCATAGCATGTGTTAGAAAATACACGTAGTGTTCTGAATGTGATTTTTAATAGCAGTAATAGCTGTGTCCCAATTCAGGGGTTGCATCCTTCGGAGGCTGTATCTGAAGGCTGATTGTGTCACAGTGGCGTGACTCGTCTGTCCCATTTCGAAGCCTCCTTCATATGCTTCCGAAAAATTTCTTCTTTTCCATAGCAATGAAGGATCCAACGGGTGGATCCTTCACCAGCCAACATATCCTGAGGTTCACTGCGTGCCAGTGAGGATTCGAGAACATGGCGGCGTCAGCAGAGGCGCGAATGGCGACTGAGGAGTTCACTTTTAAATGTAAGTATTGGGTTTAAACTGAGTCGAATAGCTAACGATTAAAATGTGGTCTGAAGGAAAACTGCTAGTAACTTGCAGGCGCCAGCAGTGAATCATCTCCAGCTCTAATAAATGAAAAAATAAAAAACTAAAAACAAACTTTCTGAAACAAACTTCCTGGCTCCATCTTTAAAAAACTTTAAAAGAGCTTGACAGGAGCGGTGTTTCACACTGTGACACAAACAGGAAATCGGCTGTAGTGCAGACTGCCTCATTTCGGTTCAGCCTTCATGAGTCTATGCAGCCTTTGAAGGACACGCCTTCATAGACCACATCCTTCGAAGGATGCAGCCCCTGAATTGGGACACAGCTAATGTGTTGGCGCTTATACATTTAGCGGATTTCTGTCTTTGAACAAACCTTCCACGATGGCTCTGAATAACAGCACAGCAGTCTTCATTCATTTCTATAATCCTGTATTTTTAACGGTCTTAACGGGGCGATTCACCGCTGTTCTGACCAATATAATTCAAATATTTAAGCTCTTTGAAAAACAATCATGCAAAAATTGCCCCAACACAGTCTCACAAATTCACATATTTATTCCCACGGAGGTCTCTAAGTTTTATCCAAGAAGACTACAACTTCCACAATGCAATGCAGCAGCCAGTGACTCTCACCTGTGAGTAATAAAGGACAAAAAGCTGTGGGAGTTTGTCTGTGATAATTATGCACTATTCATAAAAACAGTGCTGACCCTTTTGTGCCAAGTCTGAGTGCAAAATGTACAAGAGAGCAAGAGAGAGAAGCATCGCCTGCCATTATTTACCATCATGACACTTCACGCTGCTTATAGGCAATACAACATGCAAACACCCACAGAGAAGCAAATCTGAGGGTATGCAATCAACATTATGTTATGAACGTGACCGAAAAGAAGAGTTAGGATTGTCCACCAAGATGTAAACTAAAAGAAACTGCCATTCAGTCAGTGTTTTGGAGTGTGAAGGATTTGGCGATAAAGGCTCCCCATCAGCAGCTCAAACAGTTCTTTAAAGTATAACACAGCGAGTCTGAGAGTCTCAAGTGAGCTGCTTTTCTGACTAATGTTGCAGCTGGACAGCTAACTTTATCAGAAGAAAGACTTATTTTCTACCTTATTTAGGTGTGTGATTAGCTCCGCCTATGTAATGTGCATCAGATGTGCTCCTGCACTAGCCGTGTTCTGTATGTTTGTTTTTAGGGCGGAGTCAGTAATATAAAGCAACAGCACAGTGTAGTGTGTCTTTAAATAGAACATGCACATCTGTAAAAACAAACGCTGCAGCCACTGCATGTAAAATAAGGACATTAACTTTTGTACTGGATTGCCATGTGCACCTGCCCTCTGATGGATTGGTGACCTGTCCAGGGTGTATCCTGCCTTCTGCATGAACACCACTGGGATAGGCTTCAGCATCCCCCGGCAACCCAGAAGAATAAGCAGCCTAGTAAATGTGTGTGTGTGTGTGTGTGTGTGTGTGTGCCATGCACACAAATTATTAGTATCATTATTATTTTCAACATGCATTTTTATTATCAGTATTACAGATGATACTGGTGATAGTTTTTGTTAGCTAACGGCAAATCAGGCATTTTTTTCAGCTTGTCTGTCACGCCTCTTGTAGCTTGAAGCTGAACCATTTTGACCTCACCAAGAGTTAAAATCTGACAACAGAAAATGCTGCTTTTGGATCCACAGAGTGTGTGAAAATCATTTTCAGTCAGAAATGTTCTTGTGCTGACGAGGACAAGGATTTTGATAAGTAAAGTTGATCCCTTTAATGGGCATCTTGTTTTTTTCTAGAATTTTTTCCAGCTGGGTGGTAGATGCCTGGTACACTAGATAAGCATAGCACTGCATCCTTTTGGCCCAATCCCATTTCATCCCTTGCCCCTACCACTCAGCCCTTAGCCCTCTGTTCTGCGCGTTCACGTCAAGTGTTGGGGCAACATGGCCCTCCAAACGGAGGTTTATCAGAAACACACTCCAAACAAAGTGTTATAAGAAAAAAAGAAAAACCTGCAAGAGACCAAAGAAACCCACAAATGTAAGAATTTTATCCGTTACAAAAATTACGATAGCCATTGTATTTTCTTAGTTTAATGTCATTTCAATGTTTTATGGTCCTTTTCTTCATAACAAGCATAAAAAAAATAGCTAATAGATTGCTGACAAATCAGTAGCTAGCTAGCTAACTTTCCCGTTCCACCTTAAATGGTGCAGCAGTTACATTCTAGTGCCTCAGGCATCAGAACTGCTGCACCATTTAAGGTAGAATGGGAAAATGGAAAATTCGAACAAGAAGTTGGCGAATAGCTGACTTCAGCTGCACAGGAATTAAGGGTGGATGATAACAAATAATTGTCCCCCCTCTCTGAAGGTATATGATGCCCTAAATGTAACTAAAGCCCAGCAGTGAGGAGCTGAACTTTACCCTCCTCTGCTGTCACTGCAGACTGGCAGGGTCGCCTACAGAGCGGCGCTAGTAGCCTGACAATGAAGTAATGTAATGTTACTATTTATTTTAAGGGGTCCCATTTGGTATGCGAAGAATTTAACCACTACCCCTTGTAGCTGACTTTCAAGGGGCAAGATGACACTCGAAAACAAGGGGTAGGGGTAAAAATAAGAAATGTGACTGGGCCTTACAGTGAGCTATGAGAGTGCTCAGACCAATAACATACCAAAACAGCTATACAAACAATAAAGCATGAGATGTAGTGTAGTGGGACTTTCTGAAATTAGAGCGATTCAGCATCTCTAAAAAAAATCTCTGCTGAAACTGCAACTTGTCTGGCTAAAATGCAGAGACGGTATTTCAAAGTGTCCATAATAACAATATCATGTATTTTGCATGGTATGGCTTATTATTGAATATAATGGAATTAAATATGTCTAGTTTATTGAAGAGAACAAAACATGTCACCTCTCAAACAGCCTGGTGATAATGTGTAGAGCCCATTTCTTGCACTTCCACCAAATTAATTCTGGTCGATCGTCTTCGTCCACCTCCAGAGTCTCCTATGAGCCAAAGAGGGAAACCAGCTGTGAGGCTTCAAGAACGCTATGATATCTACAGTTCATCTCTTCAAAGGCAAAAACAAAGCTCCTTCATTTGTCTTTCTCCTTTGTTCCTTTCTTCATGATTTATGGTAATATACTGCGGCTGCCAAAACCTCATAAATAAACTTTTTTTTTTTTATACATCATAAAAAAACACCAGATGACCTTTATTTTGTGTGAATTCGTCATGATAAATGAGACATTAGATGTTACTCCAAAATTACTTGGAATCAAATCTTGTTCACATGCAGCATATAGTACTGTGAAAGTCAGACAGTCAGAGAGCCTTCATCTACTTAATTTACAGTCAAACCATCATTAAGTATACGTTAGTAATTTTTCAGGGGATATTTCTGAGGTTAAATGTAAGATACGACGTAATCCACCTGCATGAGTTTCCAAAGCTGGAGTTACAGAGAAAATAAGACTCCTAACAACCGTGAAAAGCCTGGTAGACACCAAAACTGCCCCCACCAGGTAAACTGCACTTTCATCTTTGAGAGAGAGGAGAAAATCAAGCTGCTTCATATGTGAAAAAGTCCACAGGTGTTTCTGTCCATCCTTCACTGTGAGAAGACAACTCAGCACTATGGGTCTGAAAGGATGTGTAGCTGTCGAGAAGACATTACTAAGAAATGGAAAAAAGTCTCCAAACCAAACAAAGAATAAACAATGCTTCTGTACTCAGAACAATGGACTGCCCACCCCAGAGTCCAGACCTCAACCCTAAGCGTGTAAAGGAGCGCTACTGCAGTCCCTTCCTTCCTTCCTGCCACTGTTAGACTGTACAACCAGCATTGCTCCCAGTAGAGCCCCCACCCTCCACTAGACCTCACACACCTACAGCACATAAACTGTGAATTCTTCACCATTTCCTGTGTGCAATATAATCAATACTGCATGTGGAATAGATTTTTTTGCTTTTCTATTCATAATGTTTATATTGTTAATTCATCACAATTCCCATGTGTAATATAAATCAGTACCTTATTTTATATATATATATATATATATATATATATATATATATATATATATATATATATATATATATATACACACACACACACACACACACACACACATATATATATATATATATATATATATATATATATATATATATATATATATATATATATACACATATATATATATATAAAAGGTACATATATTATATTACACATGGGAACTTAACAAGGTTACAGTTTGTTACTTATTATATATATACAGTAACAAACTGTAACCTTGTTATTATCAAGGTTAATTACTTGCTTGTTAATTCTCTTCTTGTTACTTCTTTTCTTGAGTGCCTTGCTGACCCTTTGCTGCTGTAGCACTGTGAACTTCCCCGCTGTGGGACTAATAAATGATCATCTTATCTTTACATCATTAAAAGTGCTTGGGAAGCAGAAAATGCAACCAACTTCTTAGACTGAACTTTGGAGGTGCAGAAAAATATCCCTGCAGATTTCTTTAATAACTATGAAAAAGCAAGTCTCCTGAAAAAAAATGGCACCTTTAATAAAGACAAACAATGGACACACTAATTACTGAACATTTTTAAACTATGTTTAGTTGTTGAGGCTTCCTCTGAATATATGTTTATGCTTTGTTTTTCCATATGCTGAAAAATGAATAACTTTTACTTACTAGTCATTTTGCCTGTAAGTTAAATAAATGAAATGTGAACTTTTGCACAGTACAGTACATATAAGAAAGACTAGCCTTCTTCTATTAAGTTACCACTTCAGAGATATGAAGTTTTCTTATGGCAGCAATAATATGCATAATCAAAGTACAGACAGAACTTACTGGTGGGACATCCCGATCCACGACTGCTCTCAGGATCTCCATCCACTGGGTCATAACTGTGTTATTGAGCAGCTGAAGAGGCAGGGAATACTACACACACACAAACACACACACACACACACACAAACACACACATTTTGCATCCTGAACTATTGGAAACACCACCACAGAAACACGACCAGCAAAGCAATATTACTATAAAATATTCAGTGCTCTGGCAGGTTACGAGGAATAAGGACTTGTTCCTTGGACGGCACACAATGCACACCTGCACAAGTGCGTGGAATATCTTGAGGATCTGTTTCTGGATGAGTACAGAGAAGACCGTGGCATCGGGGAGCAGCTGGGTGATGAGCTGCTGGATGCGGGGCAGGAAGAGCTGCATAGCGGCCAGCAGAGGAGCCCTCTCCTCCGCCTTTCTGAATCTGCCAACAGCAGCAACAACATACTACTACAGGCACTGCAGACAGCTCTAACTGCCACTTTCATGCACGAATAAATCAACAGTTCAGCAAAAATAAAAAATAATTCACAATTTGCCCCTTATCCCAAAGATGGTCAATCAGCCAAGACATGTTTGGTGTCCAAAGTCCCACCGATTAATGTCAAATACACTTGCTTAAGTTGTTTCTGACACCAATTAGCATCGTACACTCCGCACGCCTAGATCATCAGACACTTGCCTCAAACTACAAAGAGTTGTTAAAGAGCCCATAATCACAGAAACCCAAGCATTGCTTGGCTGAAGTCAGCTTCTTGTTCACTAGTTTTTTATTTGAAATTTCCTGTTCCAACTTAAATTCTCAGGCACCATTTAGGGTAGATAATCGTAAAAAATTGAAGGTGAGAGACATTTTGCAAGAAAATATTCTACTTTTATGAAAAAGTTTCCGGCTGGAGATGCGAGAAAAGCTATAGCTGAGCTAAAGCTTAAAGCAGAGCAAAGTAAGCCTGTGTTGAGACATATTTACAGCCAGCATGGTAAAATGAACATAAAATGTTGTGGCTCACAAGGTGGGTTGATTTTTGCTGAAAGGATAAAATGGCTCTTCTTAACTTTTGGGTTGCCGACCTCTGATCTATGCAATGCAGTTTGCACAGTGCTAACTGGTGGGGTATACGCTTCCCTTACCTTTGAACTACATTAGCCTCAGTCATCCAGTGCAAAATTAAATAAGGAAACTTTGAACATCAAACAAATCTCAGCTGAGAGTGCAGCTAAGTTAAGTCACCCTTGGTAGCGGCTGAGCATTTTAATTCCCAAGTCATTTGTTTAGTTGGCGAGATATTTGAGAATATGTTAGGGACACAAAACACGCACAGAACTCACTCATAGGTCTTGACGAGCTGATAGAGTGCGAGGAGGCTACCGTACCAGCTCCCACTGTTCTGCGACTGCAGGTACAGGCTGATCTTATCTACGATGCCGGTCCAGCGGCCGGGGAAATCATGCTTTATGATAGCACGCAAGCAGACAGTCAACTGGGCTCTGACAACAAAAACATATTGCTTTATGTTTACAAACACACAAACAGAAAATAACTCATGCTCAGTGTTCTTCGTTAAGTATATTACAGTGCCATATCACAAGTTATTGATTTACCGTATGGACTCAGGGCACTGAATAATGGCCTCCACCATGTTCTCTCGGATCTGGCCGCGGTCATTCTCATGGATGTTAAAGGGGAAGACGACCTCCCCCAAAGAGGGCTCCCGGTCCTGCCAGTACTGACTCACCATGTTCTTCAGGTAGATGGCAGCTGTGGCACATAAAGACGGCACTGTAAACACCTTTTCTCCAAAAAACTAAAAAATATTTCATAAAACAAATAATTTATGCTGTTTTACACATGACATCAGAGGCGTTCAGCAATTTGTCACCGAATTTGAAGATATCGGTCACTGAACTAGCCTTCCATGCTGTATACGGCAGCTGTATGAGGGGTTCTCACCTGCCTGCCGGACAGGAAACTCCACCTGGTCCGACACGATGATCTGCAGCAGAGTCGGAGCAAAGTTGATAATCTTGTAGGACTGGAAAACACGAGGGAACACAGAGATTATACATAAAATATGAGGGCTGTGAGACTTTGAACGCCATTTTCAGTGCTGTTTAATGAAGATATGTAAGATACATATTCTCTCCATGATTTTGGAATGTTTTGGTTATTGCGTAACTTTTACTTCTTAACTAGTGCCAAGTTATTGTTTTCTATGACTTTATTTATTTCATTAATCATGTTTTTTATTTATTTTATCCCTATTTGATCTGGTATTTATTAAGTTATTATACTGTTGCAATTTTATTTTTATTTTAAATTTTTTAATTAAATTTTATATGTTTTTACAACCTTTTTTTTTTAATTCTGTGATTTCTGTATTAGATCAGCTACATTGCTGATTGATGTAAAAGGCTACACTGGTTAACATAAGAGCATAACTGGTTACTGCTTCAGGTGTAAAATGGGCTTAGGAGTCATTTACTGAACTTTCTACAACAGTTAGTTTTGGCCACGCAAGCTGACTGGTTGTGAGGCGTTCTAACTGTGCTGTTATTCTGCCAGAACATCACGTTTTTTTCACAAACACTGTATCACTCTGCTGAGACACCTTTGCTAAGCAACGACTTTGACAGCTGTAGGAGACGCTCAAGCCATTTGAACGTTTTTACTTCTTACTTTGCCACAAACAGAAAACAGATACTTTTAAGATCACATTTGACCGACAGCCGATTTGGTCAGACTCTGAAGGTGAGACGACACTAAATTCCCAAACTGTCATCACCACTGAGCAGCTTTTCAGTCGGCAGCTGAGACAGAAGAACAGCTAAACAACCTGGAATCAGCCAGAAATGAACCGAATACCATTTTTTTTACACATCTTTACAGACTGGCTGGAACAGAACAACATTGATACTGATCTGGCAAAACTGAGCTAAACTTGATATTGTGGCAGTTTTATGGCTCAGTCCGATTTGGTCAGACTCTGAAGATCAGACTACACGTTTGGCGAATGGTATTGGGTTAACTTCTGGCTGATTCCAGGTTGTTTAGCTGTTCTTCTGTCACAGCTGCCGACTGAAAAGCTGCTCAGTGGTGATGACAGTTTGGGAATTTAGTCTAAGGAGCTGGAGAACGAACTGCCGGCTGTGCAGCGAGTGAGCGGAGCTCGTCACTCTGACGTAGCAACAAGCTGCTTGTTAAGGAACTATAATTTGGCGGAAGGAACTGCGAACATTAAAACATATTGATCGCCGCGTTCACGGCCCAGTTTATTAATTTCTTACTTTATTTATTTAACTGTTGTATAAAAGCAATAGAACAATTGAAGTCATGTGTCATCGCGAATTACATCACGGTTGTGATGATCTAGGATCTGCAACCAAATCACAGCTGTGATGTTATTTTGTGATAACACACTCCCCCTCGTGCTCTATTGCTTAACTGGGGGAATACCTTTTAAATATTTTTAGAATAACACAAATTCACATACCAAATTTGACTGAAACCAAAGCAAACGGTAAAATCTTGCATTGCAGGCCTGTCGTCAGAGAATCTTTACTGAACAATCTGGCATGCAGCCCACATTAACCTGACTAATATCAAAATTTGTCCAAGCTTTTATTGCCGTCATCTCACACAGTGTAACAAGCAATAAACATGAGATCAGTGTTATCTTAGGGCTTAACTCTTGCTCTGTAACACTGCGTATCTTCAAGGTGACACTATTTTGTTCTAGTCTTATTTTGTGTATTATAAAATGCACTAGCTTTGCGCATCACTCTGTGTGCGACTGTGTTTCCTCCTCAGAGACAAAGTATTGACACAGACAGTGATCCATAGGTCATCAAGGACAAACCAATCTAGCCCAGAATGATGAAAGTAAATCTAATTTCATGAGAAATACAGCATACAGAGGACAAATATAGTGCAGCAGAAAACATTCAGCCACCTTACTGACCTGAACCCAATTTTCACATAGACCTAGATAATCCTTTTAAATATAGTCAGATCCTTCCAACAGGCCTCCTGCCTCTGCTGGACGGCTTCGGTTTGAAACATTTATCTACTCTAGAAATGCTGTTACAGTGATGTCATCATTTTTCCTTTTGCTGTATGTTAACAGGTGGTCAAAGTTAAAGTCGCATTCATTTTCATTACTGAACTGGAGAAATGCTTTTCTGATGAGATCTAAACTGGAGAAAACTGTTTTCTTCTTGTGGTGAACACACTGTTCTGTGTTTCATTCTAGTGAGGCAGCACTCAATGGAGCAGCAATCCAAGCAGAAAATATGTTTCTGTCCACCCCTAAAGCAACTGTAGTATGGCTGGATGCCATGTGTGCCTCAGCCTGGGCAGCATCAGAGGGTTTATTTGAGTATTTCTTAAAGGGGAATTCCACCAATTTTTCAAAATGTATTGATAATTCAAATGTTGAGATGTAAACAAAGACATTCAGAATGTTTTCATATGAAATTGTTAACTGTAGAAAAACTTACGGAGGCTGATTTTGTTTACAGTGGTGGTGATAGGAACCAGGGGTCACAATGCCTACATTATGTCTACGCAAACATTACCATTTTTTTTTTTACTATTTACCTGCATGTACCTCTCCGCCATGAATAGATTTTCATTTTTCATTCACATTTTTATTTATGTTTTAGGACAAAAACCACTCTCAAACCTATAAAAAATATATGCCATAGGCATCAGGCAACATATTTATAACCATTTTGTGTAATTTCTTACCCTGATGTTGCATTAGAGGCATGAAACTCATCAGACGCCTGGTTCCTATCACCACCGCTGCAAACAATTCTGACTCGGTAAGCATCTCCAGAATGGCGCATTTCACATCAAACCACTCTAAATGATTTTGTTTACTTCGTGACAATTTATTAGTGCAAAAATGTTGAAAAAGTGGAACAGACCTTAGTAGTTAAGGTTGTAGTCTCTGAATGGCGTAATGTTTCTTTTCATTTATAAACACTTCATCCTTCTCAGTGAGAGTGTAAATTACAGCAATGAAAAGGCAACTGATTCATTTTGCTCAAACTGTTTGGAATGAGCAACATTACAAGCTACTTTGCAAATTATGTACAATATTGAGTAGTATATTGTCGCTGTAGCTGCGATTGCAAGAGCTGCAATTATTATTATAGTCTTACAGTCTATTATCAATGTTGTTGATACGATGCAAGTTTTACAAGGAACTTGTGAACTTCCATGACATCACGAGCACATATAACCGGCAGGCTGGCACACTATGGTAAAAGTTCAAGTCTCAAGCTAGAAAAAAAATATATCGCTGCTGTCAGGACAAAACCTCATATCTCCATTTTTCATTTTTTAACATAATTGGAAAAAGGGAGTTGCCTTTAAGTTGTGTCAAAATTTCATAATGAACGGACCAACAGAAGTGGCCCAAAATTACTTGGAAAAAATATTTCTCCATTTACTTCAATTAAAAGTTAAGAACATTGTTCTTTGTCCTGTAAAGTTACCTTTTTGGAGATACAGGGTTTTGTTCTGACGGAAGCGACATGCTGGTCTTTTTAGCCAAAAAGGCCGTACCTCAACATATACCTCAATTATAAACAATTGCAATTGAAATCGTAATCGCAATGTTGGTCAGAAAAATCGCAATTAGAAATACTGCCAAAATATTTTGGAGATACAAGGCAACGATACATCCAGAGCTCTGAGCAACCAAGACATTTTAACACATAAAATATTGAAAATTGAACTGAATATTGAACTCAGAACTCAAAACTGAAAATACATACCATTACATCCCTACTTCACACCACTGTTACACTGTCAGATCTACACACACTAGGATACATTCAGGAGCCACTCTCAAACTGGGAGTGACAGCCCATGACCATCACCCTGTGGTTAACGGCTCAGAGGCGGAGACCCGTATTTAACAACTCATGTGGTCTAACATCGCACTGACCCAAGTGACCTGCCATGGTCATTATTTAATGGTGCAGGCTGCAGAGGTCTGAAGTGCTCTGAACAGTTAAAAAGATGGTTCTTCAAGGGTTCTTTAGTAAAGGGAAAGAGTACCATATAGAACCATTTCATCATTTCATGCTTAAATGGTTCTTTGTGTGCCAAAATGGTCCTCCATTTTGATGGAGAATGTGTTGCATATGTTTCTATATAGAACCTTTTTGAAAATGGTTCTACACTCTTAAAAAAGATGGTTCTTCAAGGGTTCCTTAGTAATGAAAATGGTTCTATATAAAACCATGAACATTCAAAGCACCCTCTGCATGATTAAAGGGTTCTTGGCATCTTGAAAGTGTTCTTCAGACTGACAGAGAATGAGTTATATACGGTTCTAAATCGAACCTTTATGAAAATGGTTCTATATAGAACCCAAAAAAGTTCTATTGTTTGAATGTCAAGCTTGTAACAACAGAAGAATGCTTTGTGTGCACTATATAGATCCCTTTTCAAAAAGGTTCTATATAGAACCGTCTATAGCACATTCACGTACGCTTTCTATCAATCTGAAGAACGCTTTCATGATGCAAAGAACCCTTTAATCATGCAAAGGGTTCATTGAGTGTTCATGGTTCTATACAAAACCGTTTTCTTTAGTAAAGAACCCTTGAAGAACCTTCTTTTTAAAGAGTGTGTATAGGACCAAAAAGAGTTCTTCTATTGTTACAGTGTTAAGCTTGTAACAACAGAAGAACCCTAGAATCATATTCAACACATTCTCCATTATCTGAAGATCCATTTCTCCCTGCAAAGAACAATTTAACCATACAATTGGTTCTATTACAACTCACGGCTCTGAACAAAATCATTGCGTTTACTAAAGAAGCATCTTTTTGAAGTGTGTGGGTAAGAGGTGCTCAGGTCAGGGTCTTCATCCGCACACAGACAGACACCAACACACACAGCACACAGGTTTATACTGAGGAGAGTGTAAACAGCTAAACTTATAGCACAGATTTGGTTTATGAAGCACAGAACGACACGCCTGTAAATGTTAATGTTCTCCTTTTGTTTTATCACACAGTTCCCCGGTTTCATCTACTTCCTCCAGCACAATGAGAAGGGTAAAACATTAACAGCCAGGTTAAATAATCCCATCAGACAGCGAGGCTGTTCCAACAAATTACGTGATGCGTTATAAAAACAATCCCTGTTTTCACTCCTCACTGTTGTAGTTAGCCCATTCACAAGCTTAGCCAGCTAGCAAGCTACACGGCAAAGTCCGGATAACCAAGACGAGGCAAAACAGCTACAACTGACACGAAGTAGAGGAACCAGACGAGGCGGAAAGTTTGATACCCCTTCGTGGCCGAATCGTCTGTGCGGAATAAAGGCTGTGAGGACAGCGCGGCAGCTGCTCGCCGCCAAACACAAACAGTGAAGTTTCCTCACCTGGTTGAGCTCATTCTCCGCCGCTATCCTCAGGTTCGGGTCTATGGTGCCTTTCAAGGCCTGTATGATTCGGTTGGGGTCCATGGGGGCCAGCAGGGCGGGCTGATCGTAACTTTTGAGCGACGGCTGAACCGACCGGGCTACAGCGGGCTGCGAACGGCCGCTGGGCCACTTTCACACGGTCCTGCCCCGTTTACCGGCAAGGGACGGCCTACCGCCGCAAAAGAGGGTAAACACCAACGGTTCACGACAGCTCGGTGGTGTCATGGAAACGAGAGGCCAATCAGAGAAGAGCTGAGTCGGCAGTAGATGGGCGTTTCTGCAAACACTGTTTCTGGAAAAACAGTGAAAATGTCTTTAACTGAGTGTTGCGGTGATGAAATGTTATATATACACACCGATCAGGCATAACATTATGACCACCTCCAGGTTTCTACGCTCATTGTCCATTTTATCAGCTCCACTTACTATATAGGTGCACTTTGTAGTTCTACAGTTACAGACTGTGGTCCATCTGTTTCTCTGCATACTTTGTTAGTCCCCTTTTACCCTGTTCTTCAGTGGTCAGGACCCCCGTGGACCCTCACAGAGCAGGTACTATTTGGATAGTGGATCATTCTCAGCACTGCAGTAACACTGATGTGGTGGTGGTGTGTTAGTGTGTGTTGTGCTGGTCTGAGTGGATCAGACACTGCAGTGCTGCTGGAGTTTTTAAACAGTGTCCACTCACTGTCCGCTCTATTAGACACTCCTACCTTGTCAGTCCACCTTGTAGATGTAAAGTCAGAGACGATAGCTCATCTGCTGCTGCACAGTTTGTGTTGGTCATCCTCTAGTCCTTTATCAGTGGTCACAGGACACTGCCCACAGGATGCTGTTGGCTGGATATTTTTGGTTGGTGGACTATTCTCAGTCCAGCAGTGACACTGAGGTGTTTAAAAACTCCAGCAGCACTGCTGTGTCTGATCCACTCAGACCAGCACAACACACACTAACACACCACCACCACATCAGTGTCACTGCAGTGCTGAGAATGATCCACCACCCAAATAGTACCTGCGCTGTGAGGGTCCATGGGGGTCCTGACCACTGAAGAACAGGGTAAAGGTGGCTAACAAAGTATGCAGAGAAACAGATGGACTACAGTCTGTAACTGTAGAACTACAAAGTGCACCTATATAGTAAGTGGAGCTGATAAAATGGACAATGAGCGTAGAAACAAGGAGGTGGTCATAATGTTATGCCTGATCGGTGTGTGTGTGTGTGTGTATAAGTTTGTATTATTAACTATTGAATCTCTTTAATGTTTTTAATGTTTTCCATGACAGCTGTAGGGAGTGAATCAAAACCAATCAGCTTGCGTGGCCAGAACTACCTGCTGTATAAAACGATGAAGATCGCCAATTAAGAGAGAAGCAGCTTTAATTTAAGTGCTTCGGCTGAAAATAGGCGTCAGTCGCCGGCGTGCTGACCGTGAGGATGGTTGTCGGTGGAAACGTCTTCGCCCTGAACACGTTTTGGACAGAGTCGTCTTACAAAAACGTACGAATTAACGTTAACGCAAACTCGCCATAGCACAAGTAATAGAGGCGTGTTAACGTAACGAGCTCAATATTTCTGACTGAAGTTCAGGTGTAGCTTAGGGAGACGCGAATTTAAAAACTGCTACTCTTTGTAACTTTTTACTCAAATGTGACTAAAATATAGTGAAACAGCTCAGCATGAATGAAGCGTGAAAAACGCTGATGAAAACGCGTTGCCGGGCTTTGCCCGGTGTTGTCCCTTCTCTCTTGCCGTACTGTTGTCATGGGGAAGTGTCATGGTGGCTGCGGACTCGTAGGACTCAGGTTTCGATGTTGGTTTCGTTTATATATCGTTGACACTGGTCAGAATGGTCATTTCCAGCCATAATTAGTAAGTCTGTAAGGTTATTGTTTCTCATTTTGTTGATCCGTTGTGTTATAAATGTAGACGAAGCTGAATTCAGCTGCTTATTCGCCAGCGTCTTTGTGAATTTCCCCGTTCCACCTTAAATGGTGCAGCAGTTACATTCTGGCTCCTGACGCTGTTGAACCGCTGCAGCATTTAAGGTGGAACGGGGAAAATTCGGGATAGGAAGCCAACGTCAGCCTCGTTAAATCTCCCTTCTGTCCGCAGGCTTTAGACATCATGACCGAGGCCCTGCGCGACGAGGAGCTGCGGCCCGTGCCGAAGGAGAGGGCCATCCTGGAGAGCTTCTTCACGCAGCTCGGCATGTTCTCGTTCGACCGGGCGAAGGACTACGTGGAGAAGGAGAAGGACAGCAGCAAGAGCGCCGGCGCTATCTGGGCCTCGCTGCTGGCCGCGCTCGCCCACCTGGCCGCGGCGGAAAAAGCCTACCACAACATGACTTTCCTCGGGCAGAAACTGGGTGAGGTTACAGCAGAATTTCTCCATTTATATACATAATATCTCGAAATAATGACTTATCTTCTTGAAATATAGCCTTAATGACTGGCTATTAGGGCTGTCACGATCATGACGTTTTAGCTGATTTAGCTGTTAATTGTCATATAAAAATTGCGATTAACGATTTATCGCCTTTTCTTGTTAATTGTTTCAATTTATTATTGTACTAAATGTGAAGTCAAATTGGTATAGTAACCACCTAAACATATGTCGGTAAAACAGATCTCATTCTGCCAGGCATACTAAAAATGTTAACAAATTTTTTTTAGTTTTCATGAAAAAGTCCAATGGTGTTTTCAATGGGTGCATTTACATGCACTTAATAATCCGATAACGGCAGAAAATCAGATTTTGTCAGTAATCCGATCAACATGTTTACATGCACTTGAGTAATCAGATAATGTGGAAACACTGAGTCTACATGAGTCAGGCAGTAATCAGATTTCTGCTTTGCATCCAGCCCATTAACTCACAGAAGAAGACATGACCTAAATGTAACGTAAAACTCAAACTTCATGAGACGGCTTTTTTTAAACATCGCACCACTTCACCTGAAAATATGAACACACATCATCTAGAAGATGAAGAATATTTAAATCCTTTATTTCGTGTTTGGTTTCAGCGCCGCTCCAACAGTGTTTTGCTGCATCTCGTGACATCCACCATCTGTTCTTGCACATACGCAGACTGAGAAATCTGATTAAGAGTCTGAGTAAGAGTCTGCAAGCACTGAGAAATCTGATTACTGAGCTAAAATCCAGCTCTCTTTATCAGATTTCTTAATTGGATTTCTAGATCGGAGTATGGCGTTTACATGACCATTTGAATAATCAGACAACTGTAGAAACCCGATTATGATCTGATTATTGAGTGCATGTATCAATGCTTGCATTTACGACTTTCTTTTATTTACGTTTATTCATCTCAGCCCATCATGCCTGATTCACAATTTGTGTGTTGCACCACAATTTGACTGTGATATTTATTGACTATGGAAAATTATTGCAGTCAGCTTAAATAATTGTGGTCATTTCAAATATTAGCGATTAGCACGTTATGTAATAATTGTGACAGCCCAAATAGCTATAATGAGTTAATTTTGAGATACTGTGTCGAAATAATGATATTCAAGTTCAAGTAATTATTTTGATATATTAAGCCATCATTAGGAGGCACAAAGTTATTATTTTGATCCACTGAGTCATTATTCCAACATAATCAGTAGTTTGAGAAGATAAGTAAGTTTGGTTTTGTATCTCATTTGCTCAAACTATTGACAAAGTATCTTGAAACGTTGACTTACTTTCTCAAAATATTGACTGTCAAAATAATGACTTATTATCTCAAAATACTGTCAAAATGATGACTTATGATGTCAGAAATAATGTTTTGGTGTCTCAAAAATTACTATTTTCTTAAAATATTGACTATATAAAAATATATTTTTTAAATCATGTTATATGTAATACATCTGAATATTTACTCATCTTTTCAAACTGCTAAGTCATATTACATGAGAAAAAAAATATTTTCACATATTAAGTCAGTATTTTAAGAAAATAAGTCATGTTTGAGACACCAAGACATTATTTTTGACAGTCATTATTTTGACAGTCAGTATTTTGAGATACTAAATCATTGTTTTTAAATTGACTTATTTTCTCAAAATATTGACTATTTCGGGATACTTTGTCAATAGTTTGAGCAAATGAGATACAAAATCAAACTTTTGACATGCTACTGCCTGATACCAAGAAGGAGGAAATCTATCTGTCTATCTGTCTGTCTCTAGCTATCTACTTACCTACGTACTTACCTACCTACCCACCTACCTCCTGTACCTGGTTGGAATTCCTGGGCACTGTGTTTCTGAAAGCTGTGAAATATAAATATACTTCTCTCTGAAGTGTGAAAAGACTACTAGAAATTCCTCAAAGGGATTTACTACACAGTAATACCGTAAATGGTTGGTATAGTGTAGTGGGTAACACCTCTGCCTTCTATGCTGTAGACTGGGGTGCAACCCTGCCTGGGTAAGCACCCTACACTATACCAATAAGAGTCCTTGGGCAAGACTCCGAAACACTGCCATTGCTTACCTGTGTAAAATGATCAAATTGTAAGTCGCTCTGGATAAAAGCGTCTGCCAAATGCCATAAATGTAAATGTTTAGCTTATAATGACCAAACCTCTCAGAGTATAACATATTGTTCTTAGAACAACAGTCAGAAAACTTAGTTTGAAGGGTTCACATCATGGAAAAACCATATTTCTTCAGTTTTTCAATTTTATGTAGTATGTAAACATTGTCAAAGTTTGCTCCCCAGTCCATATTTAGAAAGGGAGCAGCAAAAACGTCCCATTTTTAATTGTTTTTTTTGTGATGTCACAAAAATGAAAGCATTTCTACCAATTCACCCAACAGGCGTTTGGCTCCACCCATTCACGTTGAAGTTATAAGGAGCGTTTCAACCTGCTTTTCAAATGAGGCACAATACAGGACAACCAATCAGAACAGAGCTTGTTTAAATATAACAGCCTGTTTAATTCAAAGGGGGTACAGAAAGGCTGCAAAATGTAAAAATGAACCATGACTATGGTGAATAAACACACAAACGTCATGAGTGGACTTCAAGGGACAAAGTAAAATAATAGAAAAATGAAGGGTGTGGCCCCTTTAAAATTTAAGCCTGTGCTGCTAACTGCTCCGTAATGGCATGCAGCTGTTTTGTACAGCAGATGGCACCAGAGAGCTACAGCAAAAAGATACTGTAACATCATTGTTTCGGCACACCTCCCGTGGAGCTGGCAGCCTGGGTGTCATTATGTATTACTAATGAGAGTCCCGAGGGGAGACTGTCACAGATTTGTATTCATGTGCTGTTGTGTTTGTTTTCAGGTGGTCAGTCGTTCTTCAGCAGGAAGGATTCCATTAGGACAATTTACACGTCCTTACACAACGAACTGAAGAAGGTAGTATCTATGGGCCGTCATCCCCCCGGGGGCTCCAGCCCTTACCTGGAAGAGCTGCTCTCCCATCTGTCCGAGCAGCTGTGCCACTTCACGCAGGCCAGGATGGAGATCGCCGACCTATATGAGAAGATGCACTCACTCAGCAGCCAGAAAACGGTCAACTCTGAGGAGCTGGTGAGCACGTTGGAGAGCATCATGCAGAAATACAGTTCCAGGTCAGTACAGAGTAAGGGGTGTGGCTTTTTTGAGTACACTGTGATGAAGGATTGGAAGAGAAACGTGTAAGTGTGTACTAGGGTTGAATAATATGGATCATATCACGACTCTAATGTAGGACATTGGCCTGAAGATGTCATTTGTCATGTTATGTAATATTCTATAGCGCAGCATTGCACCACTCAGCCTCATCCGTTTAACAGAATTCACAGTTTTGTATCCTTTTTGTGTTTTCGTTCATCAGTATTCTCTCACTACAATACTCAGCACGCACTGCACAAATACATGATGCAACCATTGTGAATCCCCCCATGTCAATAAGGGCTGCTAGCATAACCACTGATATGGAAGCGAATAATCAATAGACATTATATTCGGCGTTCTGATGTCAGCTATCTGGGGCTTTATTACAGAAACTTCCTATCTTTTTGTCTTAAGATCTGACAGGTCAGGATAAGATTTTTCACAAATTCGCATTACAGAAGCAAATCTGATCTTAATTTAAGCATCTTATCTTACATCATCTTAAGTTAGGAAATCTTAACCTACTCAATCGAAGTCGACAGTCAACTGTCGTCTCTGTTTCGTAGCAACAGACCATACGCGCACCGCTGAAACGTACACAGGTAATCAGAGTAATCAAGCTACTTAGCCAGACAGCTAATGTTAGCTACCATTACTGAGGTATTAGAGGTCAAATAAAACTAGTGCGATAAGCTGAAAGTATATTGTGGCAGCGCTTCGTGTTTTTCAGAGAGTCGCCGCTCCACAGTTTCAGTTTCATTTCCCAAAGGCTGTAGCCGAGCGCGAACGTTATTCCTCCTAATAAACAGACACCTGTTCAGCTCTGTCTCCTAATTATTCACCACCATCACTGTACTATTTTATCATCAACATTAACACACGAAGGTAATAAGAGGGGACGGTGGAGGTCGTGTCTGCAGTGTCCGGCTTTTAAAAAACTGGCTTTTTAACTTCCCAGTCAAAGCACAGTTTTCAATGTAGATAAATGTAATGTCATTATGCTAGTTATATATAGAGAACTGTGCTGCCTGACACTGCACAAAAAATAGAAACAGACAGTTAAAACAGAAGTTAAGACGCTGTGGGGTTTATCTTAAAGTTAAGACAGAATTTAGGAGATTTAGTCTAGTTAAGCTGTTTCTGTAATACTGTTTTCTTATCTGGAGTTCATGTATAAGATTATGAACTTAAGAACTGTTGTTCTGTAATAACGTCTGTCCTAAATCATGTCATGGTGACTAAACAGATAAGATTTCAGAAGTTTCTAGACTAGCGGAAAAAACACAAACATGCTGTCCTCAAGTACCCGCCCGGTATTTTTTAAAGTTCCTCCCACCTTCATGATGCATCATCCAGAAGGGGAGTTTCCTAGTCTTTAATCTGGAAAATCTGATGTTAGAGACTACTTTGAAACTGCTGTAGGAGTTAAATAGGTAAATTTTTTTTTTTATTTTGGCCAGAGTTCCTCTTTAAGAACTGATATATTGTCCAGCTCCAGCGTATACTTACCTTGGGACTGTAATTTTACAGTAGTGTTAAAACCTTCTCTATGATAATACAACTTCTCAAAGGAGAATTCCACCAATTTTCTAAAATTCTGCATAGTTCAAGGAGATGTAACTAAAGTCATTCAGAATAGTTTGATATGTAATGCTTTGTTGTGGAGAAACTTACCCATTTGGATCTCTTTATTTTCTTTATTAACTATCCAAAATGGCGGCACGGTGGCGCCGTGGGTAGCGCTGTCGCCTCACAACAAGAATGGCCGGGGTTCGATTCCCGGCCGGGCGACCGGGGTCCTTTCTGTGTGGAGTTTGCATGTTCTCCCTGTGTCTGTGTGGGTTTCCTCCGGGTACTCCGGTTTCCTCCCACAGTCCAAAAACATGCAGTCAGGCCTGAATTGCCCCTAGGTGTGAGTGTGTGTGACTGTGTATGTCTGTCTGTCTGCCCTGCGATGGACTGGCGACCTGTCCAGGGTGTATCCTACCTTCCGCCCAATGACAGCTGGGATAGGCTCCAGCACCCCACTGCGACCCAGAAGGATAAGCGGTTTAGATGATGTATATGTATGTAACTATCCAAAATGACCAGTGAACCTATATGTATCTTCCGAGTTCTTATATGTAATATTTAAAATGATAATAGTGATAAATCTGAAAAAAAAAATTGTTGACTTTTTTTTTTTTGGCTTTAAATCAAACCACTCTTGATGATTTTGTTTAGTTTTGCTGAAAAATGAGTGGAATTCCCCTTTAACAGTTGCTCAAACTCTTTTTGGCTGTATGACCATCATGCTGAAGTTAATGGTTCTCTCCTGCTCACATTGTTCTCATTAAGGTCAGTGCTTAATGCAGTCTTTCAGAGAAGAGTGGAGGTGTGTAGTGCAGCAGTACTGGCTATGGAGAGCTTATATACAGTATCAGATATTCCAGTGTCTGAAGATCTCTGACCTTATGGCACGTAAATGATTCTTTGTGGTGTGTCTGCCTGAGACAGACAGACAGACAGAGTAAAGGGAGTTAGAGGGAGATCTGCAGACGCCCAGTATTTTTGCTGGCAGGATCCATCACTTCCTCCCATGGGGAGAGTTCCTCTCTCCTCTCTCTCATCTCTGGGTCACCATGCGTGGGCTTTCCTCTGACGTGGCCCTGGCTGTCTTTTCTTTCTGGGTCTTTACTCTTGTCTTCTTTTGATTTTCACAGTGCAGCTTTTAGCTGAGCTCTCTTTGCTATTTGTTGATGTACTGTCTCAGTAACGTATGCTGTAGCTGAAAGCTGTTCACGAAGCAAAAATGGCAGTATGTTACTAAAAAGACGTTTATCTAAAATATTTAAAGGCTCTTGTAGTTTCTGACATTGTTATCCAGTGGTGGACCATGAATGTTAGAGCAAGGTGTTCAGTTTGGGCCATAAATATCAAAACATAATATAAAAAATTAGTAACACTGCAGTAACACTGATGTGTTGGTGGTGTGTTAGTGTGTGTTGTGCTGGTACGAGTGGATCAGACACAGCAGTGCTTTTTAAAAACTGTGTCCACTCACTGTCCACTCTACTAGACACTCCTACCTTGTCAGTCCACCTTGTAGATGTAAAGTCAGAGACGATAGCTCATCTGCTGCTGCACAGTTTGTGTTGGTCATCCTCTAGTCCTTCATCAGTGGTCACAGGACGCTGCCCACAGGACGCTGTTGGCTGGATATTTTTGGTTGGTGGACTATTCTCAGTCCAGCAATGACACTGAGGTGTTTAAAAACTCCAGCAGCACTGCTGTGTCTGATCCACTCAGACCAGCACAACACACACTAACACACTACCACCACATCAGTGTTACTGCAGTGCTGAGAATGATCCACCACCCGAATAGTACCTGCTCTGTGAGGGTCAATGGAGGTCCTGACCACTGAAGAACAGGGTAAAAGCGGGCTAACAAAGTATACAGAGAAACAGATGGACTACAGTCTGTAACTGTAGAACTACAAAGTGCACCTATATAGTAAGTGGAGCTGATAAAATGGACAATGAGCGTAGAAACAAGGAGGTGGTCATAATGTTATGCCTGATCGGTGTATATTGTCATATAAGCAGCTAAATCATACACTCATGATCTTTCACGTGTGTTACATTGGCCTGAATTTCTGTGAAACTCAATACACTGTCATTTCTGTGATTGGTACCCAGTTACTCACAGCTCTGTAGCGTACTTACAAGTGAAGAGTGACAAGCCCAAGTCTGAAAACACAAAACATTTAAAAATGTGAGGTGATGGGAGGACGAGGCAGTAAGCCTAACAGGACTGTTTGGAAGAAGTGCTGTATGTGCAAAGCTTAAGGAAGCCTTGCAGTACAGCTGTGCGAGTTCAGTACCTGACAAATGGCTTCTGCATCTTTGAGCTCTCCCACTGCCTGCTCAAGGTGAACTCTGCACTCCTGCTGAAGGGAGTCAGCGACAGATAGAGCGAGATAGAGAGGAAGGCAAGGAAGAATGATGGAGAGAGCGATGGCGAGGAAAGATGCCAGGCCGTGAGTAATCACTGGAGGAAGACGGAGGGAGAGAGAGGCTTGATCTTTGCAGCGTTATCTGATCAGTTAATCAGGTAGCGGTGAGCTCGGCTGTTTGACAGCACCCGCGTGGGGCTGAAATGGCTTTAAGGGCTGTTTGGAGAAGCGTGACCTTGAAATGTGGAGAGAGTGGACTTCTTGATTAAGCCCCCACTGACCTGCAGAGAAGAGACAACAAAGGAATCTCTGCTTGTGAGGTTAAAATATCTATTAGTCTCTCTCTCTCTCTCTCTCTGAGAGTGTGTGCATATATATATATATATATATATATATATACACATTTTTTTTTTTTCTTCACCCTTTTTGTTAGTCCCCATTTTTAGTTTCTCTTTTCTCTCCTCCGCCGCCTTGCTCCCTCATCGCCCTCTCGCTCACTTTCTCTCGCTCTCGCGCTGCCTGCTAAGACGTGTAATTAATGTTCAGTCGGGGGTGAAGAATTCACACGCTGCTGCTGAATACAGAGGTGATGTAATGAGCTATAAGCGTGCAGTATTCATGATTCTGGTCTCCAGCACTAATGAGCCAGTGAGGCACGCTGGCATCATAACCTCAGCCTCTCACAGGCAAATGTTTCAGGGATGCTGACCAGATTTCCATGCTACTTTGCCCTTTCCATCCAATGGAACGGCATCTCCTGGACTGGAACCCCCCAAACTATTGCCGCTGTCATGGTTCTCGTCGTCCATTTTGTGTTGATCCTTGTCGGCCATTTTAGCCCCTTTTCCACTGTAGGTCTAGACGTAGGTCTGAGCGTGATGAGTAACCGGTCCAGTGGCGTTCCCACCTGGACACAGTTAGGCGTGGAATGCTTACAAACTGTGCCCCGCATGGTTTCCTCTACGTGATTAGACAACTTTTCAGTGCAGCAGAACAGTTCAGGTGGGGTGGCTCCGTGACAGGTTTTCATTTTAGCCACTTTAGCCAGCTGCTGCCTGTTTATTCCATACATGGGACGCTGTTTTGACACGCTGCGTCACTTCCTGACGTTTCTGTAGTTTTTCTTAGATACTTGCTATTCTGACTTAGCAGTACAACCAATGAGAACCACAAGCAATCACAGAAGTCCGTTTTGGCACAGAACGTAACGATGCGACCATGTTAACTGTGCGCAAAAGTGGTCTATGATGTTCGTATGCTCGGTCAATCTGAGTACAGTACACTGTAGTGTAACAATTTCAGTACATATCAAAAATGGGATTTGAAATAGTATATTAATGTTAAACGGTCACCGATATTCCCCTCGGTTTCTTCTAAGAGTCTTTCATTTATCATCTTTTGGGAAACCATCTGTGAAGAGCGCCTTCAGCATACCAGATATCAAAAATCAAGTCTTGACCTCAGAAATGAGAATCGTATGAAACGTGAAAATCTGTCATTACAACCCCTAGTGCGCATGCATGTGTGCATGATGCAAAAACACACCTATTTAGGCACTCCATTTTTTGCTGCTATGGAGACCCCACTTTATCATATCGCATTGAATTTTTCATTTTATGTATCTATACTCTCATAATAGAAAGGATTGGGGGCATTATTTGTTGTTTTGATGCAAAAACATAACCTTAAATGATGGCAATGCTATTAGATTAGATTAAGTGACCCTTATTAGTCCCACAACGGGGAAATTCACCTCCACATTTAACCCATCCATGCAGTGAAACACCACATACACACTAGTGAACACACACACTAGGGAGCACATTTGCCTGGAGCGGTGGGCAGCCCTATCCACAGCGCTCGGGGAGCAGTTGGGGGTTAGGTGCCCTGCTCAAGGGCACTTCAGTCACGTACTGTTGGCTCAGGGAATCGAACCGGCAACCTTCCGGTCGCAGGGCTGGTTCCCTAACCTCCAGCCCATGACTGCTCCCAGTATGACATGAAGCTGCAAAAGGTGCAATTAATCAATCAATTGTAGATAATCAATAATTGATAGAAAATTTTAGTTGCTGCTTTAATTGTAACTGTTTGCCTCTACAGTGGAAAACTTTCTGTTTCTCTCCATGCCACAGGTTCCACCACCCTATCCTGAGTCGACTGGAGGGCAGTTTCCAGGTGGAGGTGGATGTCCTGACGCAGCTGCTGCGCTGCCAGGCCCAGATCTCCGAGTGGCACTTCCTGCCTTCGCTGCTCAACCTGCATGGCGCCCACTCCAAGCTGCAGGCGTGGGGCCAGGCATTCGAGCGCCAGCGTGAGACCCGCAAGCACCTGTTCGGCGGCCAGTCGCAGCGGACCGCACAACCGCCACACCTCTACTTGTGGCTGCAGCGTTTGCAGGGGGCTCTGCTGGCCAAGTTCACCTTCTACTTCCATGAGGCGCTGAGCCGGCAGGCGCTGCCAGGTGAGATGAAAGCCTTGACCGCCCGCACCTCACCCGACTATTTTGGCAAAGTGTCAGCCTTCATCCGCAAGCATGACGCCTCCAACGTCTCGCTGGTCTTCGACAACCGAGGCTCAGAGAGCTTCCAGGGCCACGGGTACCATCACCCACACTCGTATCGTGATGCGCCCAAAGGAATGGACCAGTTCCCGGCTGTGGTGTCACTTCCCGGGGGTGAGAGGCCGCTCACGCACTGGCCCAACGTCATCATGATCATGAGCGATCGTACATCTGAGCTCAACTCACTGGACAAGGTCATGCACTTCTACGACGACAAAGTCCAGAGCACCTATTTCCTGGCTCGCCCCGAGCCCCACTTCACTTTGGTTGTGATCTTCGACGGGAGGAAGTCGGAGAAGGACTCACATGTGGTGGCCTTCCTGCAGGAGATTTCCACATCTCTGAGGAACTCCAAACCCTTCAGTACGCTCAAGCCAGGCTCCAAAGGTTGAACTGACCACATTGAGCCCATTCAGTGGCCAGTCCCTGAAGTCTGTGCATCTGCCAATGTAATGTTTGTGATTGCAGGGGGTTCTGCTGGCCAGGCTCAGCTTCTACCTCCAGGAAGACCATCCTACACCTAAACGACTTAAAACAGTGCTTAGCCAAACCAATCTCTCAGCAAGCATGCATTGATATCAGTTATTAATTCCTTTATGGAATTATTTGGTTATGTCTGTCAAGGCCTACCAACAGCATTTCCTTAAATGTGTTATTTCAGTCACTCTTTGAGTCCTAATGCTGCTGAAACTGTTTTAATATTTCAACTTTTTCCTTTTTTTTTGTTTTTTTTTTAAATCTCAGTGAAACGCCAGAGGTCCGGTACCTGTGCTAATTATTTAGCTTTATACTGTGAACTTTAGCGACCAATCGTCATCAGACCAAAGTAGCTTTTTTTGCCCAAAGTTGGCCTTTTTACTAGACCTTTGAACCTTTTGAAACACATTTTGTCCTTTTTTCTGGTCTCGCTGGGGTTGGACAGTGAAAGTCCTGCTGCTATAAAGGCTTTGCCTTAATTTTTTATTTGCAGTGCACAAAACATTTTAACAGCTGAGCATTTGATTTTAGGATTCTTTCTTCTTTGTGTACTGCAGTTATTTACTAAAATAAAGGTTATTTAAAATGTTTGAATAAAACGTTGCTGTTACTGCCTCTGCTTGAGTTCTGCTTCACTTCATTATGGAGGTTGTAATGAAGTAACATATGGAGTGTACAGCTGTTTTAAAGGCCTTTGCATGCTTCAAAAGCCAAACCTTCGAAGAAAGATGAAAAAAATGAAGACGTCCAGTAGGGGTGGGAATCTTTAGGCACCTCACGATTCGATTCGATTACGATTCAGAGGGCTGTGATGCGATTGGAAAACGATTATCGATGCATCTTTTTTTTTCTCTATACAGGATTTCTATCTTCCTACTGTCTGAGGATTTGGTAGTTTTAAAGCAAAGTATTTGTAATGATCCATAATGTAAATGTATTATGGATCATTACAGATACTTTGCTTTAAATATCTAAATATCTTTTATTAATAAATCAAATGGAAGTGATGTGGCAAGTGAACTAGAAGGCTCTCATTCAGAGACGCTGCTGCCGCTCATCTGCGATAAAATGCGCTGTTACCCTGAAATAAGATCCAGTGGTAATGGGTGTCCACGCAGCGCGTTACAGCCATCCGTCCCGTTTTCTTTAGTGATATTATACTAATTATACTTTTCGAGACTGGACGCTGAATCTCGGCTCAAGTGTGCAGCGTAGTGCGAAAGCCCTGGTTCTCAACGACTGAGAACAGACAGCAGACAGCAGGTCACATAGCCCCGAGGTCTGGCCTCGCTAGCAGCGAACGAAAAAACAGATTAAGACGAACATTTTGAGGACTTATTCGCATTTATAAGCAGCGCGGTTGGTTAAATCTGCTGAGAGACTGTCTTTCTCTAAAAAGTGGCAAAAATGAACTCGCTTCTATTTTGAATTTTCCCGTTCCACCTTAAATGGTGCAGCAGTTACATTCGGCGCCTAAGGCAGAATTTAAGGTGGAACGGGAAAATTAAAACGAGAAACTGGCGAATGAGAAGCGACTTCGTAAAACTGCCGGACGCTGAGACATTTTACAAGAAACTCTTCTAGTTTTGAAGAAAAGTTTTCTGGCGGAGATGGAAGGAAAGCGGCTAAAGCTGAGCGAAGTAAATCTGCGCTCTCGTTTATATTGTTTAGTCTATACTAGGACTTCATCATATACTGAGACATACTGGGCATTAAATGTTGTGGCTCCCAAGGTGGTTTGACTTTGTTGAAAGGACAAAAATGGCTCTTCTTATCATTTGTGTTGTGACTCCTGATCTAACCTGGCTTTTGATGCAGAGGGAGCCGGTCGGATTTCTCACTCATCCAGCAGTGTTTTTGTTATGTGCTGCCACAGACTGTCCGGGCGCTGCACTTCCAAGTTCCGCCCTTTGCGTTATAAATTAAATATTAAGAAAATCGATTTTTGACGTTTATGAATTGATTCAGAATCGTTCACGTCCGCATCGCGATGCATCTAAGAATCGAGTTTTTCCCGCACCCCTAACGTCCAGCTATACTGGGGTCATCATACATTTACCCTGGGTAAATCGGTCGGTCAAACTGTCGGACTGCCAGTCGGTCAGTCAAGCTGTCTGTCGGTTGGTTAGTCAAACTGTCAGCCAGCGGTCAAACCTGTCAGTTATTCGGTCGGTCAAACTGTCTGTCTGGGAATCCTGCAGCCCCCTCAGCACCCCCACTAACCGTGTCCCTGCATTCTAAAACCCTGTACGATGAAAACCTTGTACAGTAAAACTATAGCTGGCTCTGGGGCCGCTGGAGATTCATCCTATTACAGTTCGGTAATGCATATTTAAAATGGCTGCCAGCTCTAAGAAGCATTGATTCCAAAAATGGCTTAAAATGACTTAAGACTGTGCTAATGAACACATGCGGCTAACCTAATGATTATTGCTGTTCATTTTAGGGAGCAAGTAGCAAAACCATTAAGAATAGCTGGAATAATTAGCTTTACTGTGCTTGGAGAGTGACTGGGGTGTTTGAAAAATCAACGGAAAGATCAGAACCAAATTGGGAATGACTCATATACAGTTATCTGAATAAACAGGAGTAACAGTAACAAAGTATTTTTGGGACAGAAAAGGTCAAAAATGACCTTCAAGTTTGCAAATAATTTGCTATGTTTCTGCATTAAACAATACATTTGATAGTTATTAGTAGATAATCTCATATAGAAAATATCAGCTTATACAATTAGAATCTTCATAGGGTTAATGGGCAGCAATTCATGTTAATTCTGACAAAAATACAAACATGGCAAAACTTGTGATTTTATACTCTAGCCTAGAAGTCTTTAATTCTAGACCTTGAATCCAGTTCCAGTCCTGGATTTTGTAAACGCTGGTAGTTCATCACACTGCATGTAACCTAATGTCATACCTATTAATGATTACAAAATCCAGGACCAAAACCTGGATTCAAGGTCCAGAGTTAAAGACAATTATTAGTATACTGGGTCGTACTGATGAGCTCAGTGACTTTAAACATGCTACTGTCATAGGATGCCATCTTTGCCACAAGTCAGCTTGTGAAATTTCTGCTCTGCTAGATCTGCCCCAGTCAACTGTGAGTGCCATTATTGTGAAGTGGAAGCAACAACAGCTCAGCCACGAAGAGTCAAGACCACACAAACCCATGGGGGGGGGAGTGCTGAAACTTACAAATTGCCTATCATCTGGTTGCATCACTCACAACCAAACTCTGGAAGCAACATCAGCACAAGAACTGCGCATCAGGAGCTTCATGAAATGGGTTTCCATGGCTGAGCAGCTACACACAAGCCAAAGCTCACTACATGCAATGCCAAGCGTTGGGTGGAGTGTAAAGCACGTCGCCACTGGGTTTGGTGGATGCCAGAAGAACGTGGCCTACTAGAATGCATAGTGCCAAAAAGTTTGGTGGAGGAGGGATAATGGGCTGGGGCTGTTTTTCAGGGTTGAGCTTTGGCCCCTTAGTTCCAATGAAAGGTAATGTTAATGCTACAGTATACAAATACATTTTTGTGTGTCCAAACTTTGTGGCTACAGTTTGATGAAGGCTCTTTCCTGATCCAGCATGGCTGTGCTCTTGTGCACATAGTGAGCTCCATAAAGACGTGGTTTGACGGATTTGGTGTGGAGGAACTCTAGTGGCCTGCTCAGAGCCCTGACCTCACCCTGGAAAGCCTTCTCAGAAGAGTAATGGCTGTTATAGCTGTAAAGGGGGGCAACTCCATATTAATGCCCACAGATTTGGAATAGGATGTCCAGCAAACTCATGTAGGTGCACTGCAAAAAATAGTATCTCGTCAAGTGAAATGATCTGAATTCTAGTCAATATATCTAATATTATTATTTTGAGATTGTTGTGTACTTATAAGATTATTTAGCTTATTTCTAGACATTTTTTTTACCTGTTTTAAGTAATTTTATTAAGAAAAATTCTCACTACACTGGCAGATAATTTAGCTGGTTTCACGCACGTTTCTTAAAACAAGCAAAATGATCTGACAATATAGTGAGAATTTTGCTTAATAAAATGACAAAACAAGTAAATAAAATGTATGAAAATAAGTTAAGTAAGCTTAAAATAAGCTTACAACAATCTAAACAGGAGAAATATTGGATATATCGACTAGAATTAAGATAATTTTACTCGTCAAAAGATACTGTTTTTTGCAGTGTGAGATGGTCGGGTGTCTGTATACTTTTGCCATGCAGTGAGTCAGCAGTCATGTGTAAGAGGTGGACTAGTTGCCCAGCGAATCGAATGTTGTTAGGCATTTAAACTAGTGTACGTCTATGGCTTATAAACAGCTTTGTGTGGCATTATTTTCGAGAATGCGTCGGATCACAGTGATTTCCAGGCAAATTCTGCCCCTCAGAGCGCTCATATAATAAACTTCACTGGAGCTAATAAAACAGTGGAATGGCCGTTAAGATGGCGTTAGGGATTCCACTTGGGGACAGTGACGAGGCCAAGCGCACAAAGGCTTGTTAAACTGGTGATAAAATGGACGGTTAGTCTTTAAAATTGAACAGACTGTATGTCACGTCTGAGCTGACTGCAGCTGACTCGTCTCTGTAAGGGGATGCACTGTGGGGTCTGTGTTGAGTTCTGCACCCTGCATTGAGTGTTTTGCACACACGTGTGCGCCCTTTGCTCACGTGCACGCCTGTCTGAGGGCCCCATGTGAGGTCTAAATGCATCTTCAGCCCTCTTGCATTTTTAACAGAAGCCCTGCTGCTTTGGAGGGATAACATGCACTGTATTATTAGTGGATGTGTACGCATGTGAATTCATAGAGCGCCGGCTCCGTTGATGATATTTGTGTTTTGCCTGCTCTTGATTCAGCTCATTAAGGGCTTGGTAATTAGCTGACGAGTCGAAACAGGTGTGTTAGTGCAGGGTAAACATTAAAATTCCAGGGGGGTGGGGGGGGTGGGGGGGGCCTGATATTGAATACTAAAAGCATTTGGCATGTGTGGTAGGGCTGAAAGACAGACTGATCGCTTTTATATTTAAATTGCAATCGAAAATCGATATCTGGTGCTCTTCAAAGCGCAAGAGATTTTCATAGCCTACATTATCATCAGCATTGTCTTATGTTTTAAAGGGGAAATTCCACCAATGTTTCTAAATTTCTTCATAATTCTATCATTGAGATGTAAACAATCATCCAGAGTGATTTGAGGTGAAATTGTTTATTGTAGAGAAACTAACCCACTTTAATTTCCTTACGGTAGTGGTGATGGGAACCAGGGGTCACAATGTCTACAACACAAATATAGCCATTTTATACCTCCAGTGAACCTACACTAGCCTTCTGAGTTTTGTGTGGAATGTTGATGGTAGGGACTATTTTACCTTTTAAAGCTCTGTATGTACCTCTTCACCCTGAATGTTTAAAAAAAAAATAATTTCAGCTCAAAACCTTCTTAAAACTAACATAAAACAATGTCTGAGACGTCAGACTGCATATTCATAACCATATTACGCAATAACTTTCTGTGAGGGAGCTTTTAGAGGCTTTACTGTGTTCAGATGCCCATCACTAAAACTGT